GCTTCGCGCCACTCGCACACGTCTTCGGGCGGAGGGCAAAATCCGCTCTCCGCCCGGGAGTCAGCCACTCGCCGATAAACTTCGGCGAGCACTTCCGCCTCCAAATCCCACGGGGGAGTTCCGGCCAACGCGCAAGCCACCTCCGTCGAAACGGTGCGGTAACCGCGTATGGCTCTTGCTGGCGGTCGCCAATATCCTCTGAGGGCGCCTGAGGCGTGCCCTATTCTGGGCGGTCAGAGCCGCCGCCCACACCGGTGCACCGTATAGTGCCATTGACCGGACAACCCCCGTGTACAACCGTCTTGTCGCGACGCTGGGTCCACCCAAATTGGGCAAAAGTCGCCCTAGGGCAGACGCAGCGCCGACCAGCTTTGGAGAGTTGTCAAGTACCATAGTACAAGCTCTACTTAGTTTGGAACTACAGGGCGTTGTGTAAATCTGGTACAAAAACAGTATTTTTTTTTATTTTTTGACCAATCCGGGCTTACTCTAATCCGGGCTAACTTTCCACGTACGACCTCGGTATTGAATACCAATAATTTTATTAATGTCACCCTCCTATCTTAAGAAATATTAGCTTTATTGGAAAGTTTTCGAGTTTAATTTGTCAGTTTTAGTTTAACAATAAATAATAACGTTTTATAAATTACAAATATTCCTACAAATCGTTCACGGTTTCCAAGATAGCGCCTATCTTGGCTAAAAGCTGGTAATTAATACCTGGTAATACTGGTAATAAAACTATACAAATATCCGTGACAAGATTATCTTTAATGAATACTAAAATATTTGAGGCTGAAATACGATCCGGATCGAATCGTCTATATTTTACCTAGCGAAAAAAACAGCGTGTTTAAGGAAATGCTTAAGCATAGGGCTCAAATACGATCTTTCTTCTCTTTTTTGGCGACATTTCTAACCTTATTTATGAGGAATGACCCGTTCTTTGTAATATAAATAGGATTAGATCGACAAATTGTAAAGGAATATGAGATACTTAGGTAACTAATCGTAATTACTTACACAGTAAGAACCTAAGTATTTACTGTGTCATTGATGTATTCATTTCAAAGTTCTAAAATGAAAAGTTTGTCCAGTTTTAACTATTCTACACATTTACATCAACATTGAATTATTAATAGTAATACCTAGTGTTCATGTTCATGGTAAATCTGGTATTTAAGTAGCAAATTTTAAAAAGTAAGTAAAATATTATTGCAAAACGTTTACCAAATTTTGAGCTTTCTCTAACAAAATTTTATTAACCACTAAGATTTTTTTGAAAACATGTTTATACGGTATATTTTATTCCGAATATTTAAATTCTAATGCTGTTGTACATTTAGACCTTTTTTTTGGTGTGAGTTTTTTTATTTTAGCGTATTATTTTTAGGGCCAAAGAGTTTAAACTGCCGAGCTTTTTCCGAGGTTTATATTATTTATTCCCAAAATTCGTTTTTAATATTCAAAACATACTGCAGATAGCAAGTAAAGTTTTGAGATGTTTTGAAAGTATTCTAAGTGTACTATAAGTATGCTATTACGTGTAAGTAGTAAGTAAAGTAAATGTTGCTTACTTACTTACTTACTTACTAAAAAGGACTAAAGTTTTGTTAAACAATTTTTTCGTATGGTTTCGTACGAGGTTCAATTAATAATGATTGGGTCGGAAAATCAAAATTTATTATTTTATGAGAAAGCGCTTCCTCGAATACAACTGTAGCAAGGCAATACTTGAGATGGATGTAAAATAATTTACTCTCTTTAGTGGTGCACCAACAATTCACAACATTTGAAAAATCTGCCAATTAAAGACATAAATTGCACCTTATCGGTGCCATGTCATTAAACAGCAAAATAGAATTACTGTGTCGAACACAGTAATTCTATTTATATATTGCTGAAAATGCCCCAACGTGAATTTTATAGTAATAGAAGAGAAACCTAAATCTTTCACAATGAAGATTAGTATTCATGTCGTAGATGTGTTTCCCTTAATTAATTTGACTTCTACTTTTAATTTTAAGGATATTAAACCGGAGAAACTCAATTTTTCCTTTTATAAAAATTGTTGAATATTAAAGTAAACCTTAAGCTAAAACGATCTAATAACGTACCTGTTCTAATAAATGAAACGCAATGAATTTGAATGTAATGAATTTTCAAGTCGACAAAAATATATGATTATAGGTTATTAATGATTACGAACAATACTAACTCTAAATCTGTATTGGATTATTTTTGGTATAAATCTACGCTTACAAAAATAACTCGACAAACTTTCCTGAATATAAAAATAATTACCTACTTTTTATGACGTAGTTAGTCTTCATAATTTTCATTATCTAATTGAGGAGTGACTTTTCAAAAGATCTTATTTCTTCATTAACCATATTTTCAGAAAATGAAAAAAACTTTCAACAATTATTTAATTATAAAATACATTTTGAATTTTAATACTATATTTTACATAATGTTGAAAAGGTTAATTTAGCATTTTATAGTTTTTATTTCCCACTCACGAAAATATATATCTAACTTCATATTTTAGAAATAAGCACTTTTGACAGGGACTTTTAGAATTGGGCTATTTTGGTCCGTACTTGTTGGAAATTAGCCATTTTCAAGCTCTTTTGTTCCGTAAATATTGTAAAAGAAACAATCACCTAGAGAATTAAGAAGTTTTGAAAAGGAATGTTTTAATGAACGAAAACGATATGGATATAACTTTCGACACGAAAGGCTCTTTTTCTAGTCGATTTTCTACAGGAAGAAAGCCGTTTTGGACCAAACTATAATTGAAAAATATTAAGGTATTATATAATAATATGGTATTAGAACTGAATTGAGAAAATGAGAAATAAGCCCATAAGAAAAGTTCTCCTCAATTGTAACTTATATTATAAACGTAAAAGTGAGCGCCATGAATATTGCATAGTCATCAAGGATATAGAAAAGAACATGAGGTATCACTTAACCTAAAAAGGAAGTATTGTTCCCGATCGATAAATTATTTAGCATTAGCACACAATTGCATATATGTAATAAAAATAGTGTTATATATTTCTTAATATATACTGATGGTCAATAAACGCAAAGTTAGAAATATCATTGCATTCTGTTCAGAGGGATTCAAAATTGGATGAAACAGAAATCAAGACTTACGCAAACGTTTCATTCATGTATAATTTTCTTTAAAGCTTCGGTAAACGGCATGCTCCATTGTACATGTGTTTGAAACTTTTATAATTGACATACATACAAGTTATAACTTACTCCAAGAATACGCAGTACTTAGTTACCTCAAATATAAACTAAATAATTTGTCGACACGGATTTGTAAGGGGCTACATAAATAGATAAGTGTTCTAATCTGCCATAGTCTGGACATACGCCCTGACTACATATGTAATAATCTACATAATACTCAGAAAATATCTAGTGTGAAACCAAGCAGAGCTTGTACAGTGAAAACTAGATTGACTGATAGAATACATACACGGAAACGGTTTTTGGAAATACATACATATTATACACGGAAAACACCCAAACTGCGAAGCAAGTATTTGCGGATCGTACAAACATTTAGTTCGACCCGGGAATCGAACCGAGAACTGAGACCTCAGCACAGCAGTCGCATACGCTACCACTGCGCCATCGAGGCAGTTTGATTCTTGAGAAAGGACATGAGCTTTTTACCGTGATAACCGACATACACGCGGGAGGAGCCGCTTGTAAAATCTATTGTGTTGTGTGTTCTCCCAATTCAGTTCCGATCAAATTTCGGTCTCTCGAAAGGTATTTTTGTAGTAAAGTATTAAAGATCCAACATTGATTGTAATGTGATTATATCATATTGTAACCGAAGTTTTAATCTGCTAGTCTTAGTAATACTTTGCTATTTTACTACGAAAATACCCTTTGTGACAGTTGTGAGACCGAAAGTTGATCGGAACTAAATTAAGAAAGTACTTTTATTACGAGAATTAGACTTTTGTTCATTTAAAAAAGGGGTCTCTTGCCCGAAATAGTTTAGGAATCCCTGGTGTAGACCATAATAAGAATATGCCTACGGAATACTGCGTCTAATAAACTTAATGTAATTATCGTGTTAATTTGTGGTTTTAAAGTTTACAAATACCAATAATAAATAAATATGTACTATATACTAATAATAAATAATACAAATCATTTAAATACTAAATTAAAATAACAAAAAATTTAAGGCTAGCTCAGCCAATTTCCTTAAATGAAATTATCCTTACGAGTATACATCTATTGAGCACAACTGCGTTAAATCATTGTAACAATGCTATTGTTTTCTTTTCATTTACAACTTTGGTTGAAGAAGTTGTCATAAAAAAATATCAACATTTAGTAGACATGCCAGGCGGACACTGTTTTTTGATAAACCCCATTTTTTTTTAATTATTGTATCTGCAGAGTACCAGAAACCCGTTATTGTTATGTAAAACTAAAACTAACATATGACCACAAATTATATTATTCAAAGGCTAAATACTCTTCTGTTAGACAGCAATAGCAGCTCAATTAAGAGCTGAAACGAAACAGTAGTTTAAAAGTAATAGAATTGAGAAGAGGTGCCAACCGTAATAAAATATTAATACCGTACTGAACGTGGGACTCACGGAACTCACGGACTCTTGAAACCTGACAATACCCCAATTTTCATAAATGCCATTTATTATAAAAGAAATACATGTAGAGTTACGTTGTTGTGATAAGCGCTCATCATAGTTGGTGGTCCACTTGTTTGCTACTTCATGTGTATATAAAATGGTAGCATCTAGTTTTAGGTATATATAATCATAAGGTTAACACATGTTTTCATAATTGTTGTGTTGACTTGGATGCAGAATGAAGTGTCACCATAAACTATAACGATTCGGCAGTTTAATATTATAATATGCTAGAAAATAGCGGCCCTGTGGTATTACCAGCTACTCTCATAAATTAATTAATTAATTAAATATTTACAGGTTTGACGTATTGGTGAATGGCGGAGGCGCAGTGACGTTGCAGTTCCAGAGATCACCGTTCAAGCCTCTAAGAAAGACAGTTTTCGTGCCGTGGAATCAAATTGTAGTGTTGCCGCCAGTCCAGATGGAACTTAGTGATGAAAGCGTTAAAGTACCTACGCCTAGGTATGAACTTGGCAAATAGAACTTTGATATGTTAGACTTTATATTTGTTGGACAATCACTAATCTGTGTTCGTAAGATTAAACATACATGTACTAACGGTGTACTCCGTAAGGGCGTCCCAGAAACCGTTTTTACGTGCTAGTTTCATTATTTTTAAGTATTATGAGATATGGTCAAAATTGGACCGCTGATCAAAAATTCAATTATGCTTTCTAGACCGCGATTGACCATTTGAACTAGTCCGTATTATCCGTTATTCGTATTTATAATATCCGTTTTTCTTACAACATAAACCCAAACTAATATATTTTTATAAAACCGTTATGTACGTAGTTTATTGTGGTGCACTCAAGCGATTTCATTCGCCTACAATACTGAATAAACGAACAAGACCATTCTCTGTATAACATAGAATATTCCAACCAAACCTTTTAAAATATTTTGCCGTCCTTATCTCTATAGACAATAACCCAATATTAAATTAACATATATGATTTAATCATTTACAATAGGGCACCACTTCGAATCGGCTGGTTGCCAACCCCAACGCAATGGTGGGAAGCGGAGACTCCACCGTGCGCTGCACATGATCACGAGCGTCTTCGACCAGAAGTGGTAGCAGTGCCGCCTTTGGCTTCACCCGCTGCGTCCTCGGCTACAACTACCACTGTTATATACCCTGAGGCTCAGGTGAGTTGGTTGTGTGGTTATATAATATTCACTATTTAAGATTTGAATTGAACTTTTTAATTCTGTTTGCTAAATATTATATTAATATGATATTATATTAACATATATGATCATATTAATGAGAATATTCAATTAATATGTTAACTAAGATCCCTAGCTATTTGACTATCAGTACAAAATTTTTGTTTTTAAGTTTTGAACACTTACAACACTAGGATATGACTACAAACGTAAAAAATGTAACATTGTAGACTCGATTGAGTAGTAACACAAGAGAAGGTAAACTACGCCAAAATTAATCGGTCATTTTGCAATACATTAACTTGCGTTACCAACGTCAGTATCGAAACATTGCTTTAATAGATGTTAAATCAACGAGTCTTAAAGTAATCAAACGAAACCGACGTTATTTCGTTTGGTCTCCTTTCGGGAAATTAATTCTTCTACTTGTCTACATTCCAGATCGTGAGCGAGTCCATCGGCATACCCGGCTCATCTGTAAAGCTCACATACCGTTCATCTCAATCTGCTGGCTACCTGTCATGCGTACATGTACAACTTACACGTCGAATCATACCAGCGTCACTGGTCAGAGTACATGTCCGAGTTGAGATTGAGGGCTCATTGCATACACATAGTTACGAAGCTGACCCTGACTTAACTCATATCTTTGCCTGGAATAAGAGGAACGTTTACAAACAGAAGGTTAATTTTAAACAACTATTATTTAAAACTTTCTCTACTCCAAAGTCGTCTTACAAGTTCTCGATGTATTATTATACATCGAGAACTTGTAAGACGACAACTTTATTTTTTTTTATTTTTTATCGTATTTTTTAGGTGTATGGCCAGGCACAAGCAAAAATATCAATCGGTTACGAATATACGACGTGCGTTGCAACTGTATGGGAGACTCAGACGGCGACGTTAGCTGGTTTTGATGTCGACATATCAGATATCGGAGGTTGGGGACTGGATATACATCACCATTACAACTTCCATGAAGGGATATTACAAAAGGGCGATGGAGCTTTACTTCACTTAAAACAATATCCGAGAACTGTCCAGGTAAACACACATAATGACTGTTTTTTTTTTATTACTCTCTACTTTAATTCAAATGTTTGTTTGTTTGTTTGTTGTGTTTGTTTTTAATAATTACAATTTCATTCGTTCAATCAAGTCCTCATCATTCATTTAAGTCATAGTACCAATCTGCCGTTTTGAAATGCTTAGAAAAACTTCATATTTATTTATGTATTTTCTTTAGGTTGTCATGGGTACCGGTCTTCAACGAGCTTTGGAATGTCCCGATCATTGCAATGGCAAAGCTGCAGATGCCCGGCTATTAACACCCACAGCTCTAACATCCGGCCCAGACGGTTCATTGTACGTTGGAGACTTCAATCTTGTACGTCGTATTACTCCCGAAGGCGTTGTCACCACTGTACTACAACTAGAGTAAGTATTTTATAAGTATGTATTTTCCCGGAGGTCTTCCGCCGAACCCTTTTAATAAACTAGGTTGGGGTCAGCTTTAAGTCTCATACGATACGGCTGAGCTTCGACACGGAGCGACTACCATCAGACCTCCAAACCTCAAGTACTAGGCGATATCGAAATCCTGTTGAAAGACTTTTTAGGAAATATTATCACGGACACACTAATATTATTTGTTAAACTTGTTTTTTAAAGCATTTTATTTCCTTTCTTTCAGAACAACACAAGTTGCATATCAATATTATATTTGTATATCACCAGCTGATGGATACTTATACATATCAGATTCAGAAAGACACCAAGTGCGTAGGGTGATAGCATTGGATAAAGTGCGAGATCCATCAAGTAATTCAGAACCTGTTGTTGGTAATGGAGATCGATGTGTCCCTGGAGATGATTCCAATTGTGGCGATGAAGGTCCTGCCATGAAAGCCAAGTTAGCTCATCCCAAAGGTACGTAATATTTTAGGACAAGGAATAAATTTTCTAGTCATAAACTTTTCTTTCTTATTTGGAAATGTCTATATATACTTCCAGGTCTTGCCATTGCGGCTGACAGAACAATGTATATCGCTGATGGAACTAACATCCGTGCAGTCGATCCAAATGGCATTATACATACACTGGTTGGTCATCATGGTCATCACAATCATTGGTCTCCTGTTCCGTGCCGTGGAGCAATACCACCCTACGAAGCTCAACTACAATGGCCAACAGGAGTTGCTTTGTCCCCTCTAGATGGATCACTGTATTTCATAGATGATAGAATAATTCTAAAATTAACTGTTGATATGAAAATCAAAGTTGTAGCTGGTCAACCTTCACATTGCCGTATAGGAAGCGACGGAAAGCCTCTTGCTAAGACAACTAATAGGACAACTACAGATATTAGAGAAGACTCCAACTTAGGCACAATATTAGCTATTGCATTTGCGCCAAGTGGAATATTGTATGTTGCTGAAGCTGATTCTAAGAAAACGAATACAATTAAGTCAATAGATCCCTCTGGTAAAATTATGCACTTTGCTGGAAAAATCCTTGAAAATCTGAAAGAATTAAGCTGCGAATGCAATTCGTCAATCTCAGCTACAATAATACCCACAAACGGGCGTGACGAAGGTGCTGGTTGCCCATGTAGACTAAGTGTGGCAGCAGGTGATGAACCGCCCACTAGCACAGAGACTCTACTGTCCTCTAATGCGAAATTCCAGACAATATCAGCTCTCGCTGTAACCCCAGATGGAGTCCTTAATGTTGTTGATCAAGGTATATATTTTCAAAATAAAATATACTTAATATTCCAAAAACTGTTATATTCGTGTATTTTAATAATTATTTTACAATTTTGTTTTAGGATCGCTTCACATTTTAGCATTGAAACATTACTTACCATCTCATGATGAAAATGGAGAATTTAGAATACCATACCCGCCTACTTCTGAAATCTATGTATTTAATCGTTATGGTCAGCATATTACCACAAAAGATTTAACGTCTGGTAAAACAAGATATTCATTCTTATATTCTAAAAATACAAGCTTTGGAAAACTATCGACAGTTACAGACGCTTCTGGAAATAAAATACAATTACTCAGAGATTACAGCAATATCGTTAGCTCTATCGAAAATACACAAGACCACAAACTCGAATTAAAAATATCTGGAATCGGTTACCTTACTAAAATAGCAGAGAAAGGTGCCAAGGAAATGGAATTTGATTACGACGCCAACACAGGTTTACTCAACAGCCGGTCGGGGGTAAGTCATGCAACTAATATATAAACATTTATTAATAACAAAAATATATACATTTGATTTCATAAAAATTATATGTATTTTTAGGCAGGAGATGCTGTGATTTATAACTATGACGAACTAGGAAGAGTAACTAAAATAATAATGCCTTCTGGTGAACAAGTGCATATAACTTCTGGCCTTGCGAAGAATTACGGTTTAGCTGTAACAGTATCAAATCCAGCCAGCACGATTCCTGTTGGAGTAGCCAAGAAATGCGAATACGTTCTACATGGGCAGTCCTTCAAGCAAATTACTATAAATAACGGCAAGCAGATTACCGAAGGACGCATTTACTCCAACAACACGCTGCTTCTGGATACACCTTGGGGAGGGAAATTTGAAAGTATTGCTGCTGCCAAACATCCACTTTTAGAGGCAGCTTTACCTATTGAAGCTGAAATGCTTCACATGTGGTCACACCAGACAACTACTTTTGGTGACGGTCTGGTGAATAATATGTATTCACTATATACATTAGTTGGCGATGTGAGAAATCCGCAGCAAACTCTGAACAGGGAGATATGGGTAAATGATTCTAGAGTACTGATCATTGAATTTGACCAGTTTAAGAGCCGCGAAACTTTCTTTAATGCAGACAGAAACCCATTATTTACTATTGCTTACGACGTAGCAGGACTGCCTCTTTCATTTAATCCTCATGGTGCAGGAGCTCCTCTAAATATTTCATATGACAGATTCAATAGAATCAATGGCTGGAAATGGGGTAATACTGAGGAAAGTTATAACTATGACCCCCGTGGAATGTTATCAGAAATAACAAGCCCTCAAGATGGCACTAAGTTTATTTATTACAATGAAGGAAATCTTGTCTCCACAATTACTCTAGCCAGTCAAAAGAGCTTTAAGTATAAGTACGATGACGATGGTGGCTTAACTCACGTAATTCTGCCCTCGGGATCAAATCATTCTTTTAGTGTCCAACCATCCATAGGCTTCTTGAGGGTCACATACACACCACCTGGTTCCTCAAAGAAATATTTACAACATTATTCACATACTGGTGAGCTTCTACAAACTGTATTCCCTGGTGATGGAGCTCGTGTAGTTTACCGTTACTTTACTACTAATAAAGTTTCTGAAGTTGTTCATGGTGATGGTCAGACGCAGATACACTATGCAGAAAATAGTGGACTTCCGTCAGAAATATTACACGTCGACCGAGACGTTGACTATCGCTGGGAGTCTACATATGTTGGTGGTCTCCTCACCGAAGAACGACTTGATTATGGCGCTAAAACTGGTCTAAGTAACGCAAAGATAATATATGAATATGATAACAATTACAGAATAACTTCCGTCCAGGGACGGATTGGGGGACAAACTCTTATAACACATCATATAATGTATAATAGTAAAACAGGTGCGCCAGAAATTTTGGGACAATTCACTGTATCTAAACAAAAGTGGAATGAGACGTCCGTATATGACGGCATTGCCATGTTTTCGCGTGTACTTAACGATCAGTTCTTAGAAAAAGAAGTTACAGTCAATATTCATAGAATGGAAGTGTTTAGAATGGAATTCTCATATGACAAACATGGAAGAATATTACAAACACGTACACATACAAGGAATGTCGGAGTTAACACTTACACGAATTTAAAGAACTATACCTGGGACTGCGATGGACAGCTAACAGGACTTGAAGCGCAAGAGCCTTGGGGCTTTAGATATGATGATAATGGCAACATGTTATCATTAACCTACAGAGGAAACACCATTCCCATGGAATATAATGATATGGATCGCATTGTAAAATTTGGTGAAGGTCAATACCGATATGATAGTCGTGGTCTCGTATCCCAAAATGCCAGAGAAGAAAGATTCCAATACAATTCGAAAGGTCTTCTAATTAGAGCAACAAAACGAGGAAGATTTGATGTTCGTTACTATTATGACCATCTTGACAGGTATGTTTTTAATATATAAGTAGTAGTTAGTATTAATTACATTAGAAGCAATAGAATTCAACATTAAAATCAAGTAAATCGGTAGTTACTCTTACTTAGTAGTAAACTAAAATGTAGATACATAACTAGAACTTTTATCCCTTTGTGTATTCATTCACTATCAATTTATTATAATGATGACATCAAATATGAACTGTTATTTTCAGGCTTTCCACTAGAAAAGATAACTTCGGTAATGTAACTCAATTCTTTTATACTAATAAAGAGAAGCCTCACGAAGTAAGTCATATATATTCACCACGTGAGAATAGGTTCATGACGTTAGTTTATGACGACAGAGGACACTTGATCTACACACAGGTACGAAACTCACATAAATAAAATAAAAATTAACAATTTAACTTTGTCGTTAATCAAAACTAATGTATATAATTTTCGTTCCAGGTGGCTCGACATAAATATTATATTGCTACAGACCAGTGCGGAACACCAGTAATGATCTTTAATCAATATGGCGAAGGCATCAGGGAAATAATGAGGTCACCGTACGGACACATAGTATACGATTCAAACCCATACTTATATTTACCTGTCGATTTCTGCGGTGGACTGCTGGATCAAGTGACTTCATTAGTCCACATGGCGAATGGAAAAGTTTATGACCCACTGATTGGGCAATGGATGTCTCCATTGTGGGAGAATCTCATTGAGAGAATTCACAATCCAACTCAGTTGCATTTATACCGGTTTAATGGAAACGACCCTATCAACGTGAGACCTCAGAACAAAAAGCCAACAGGTAAGGACACTTAATTGCAAATAAAAATAAAATCAATTCTGAAAAAAAATACTTATACAAATTTTATTTTTCTCATCAGATCACCTGTCATGGTTGAAGTTGCTGGGCTATGAAACAAAGAGCCTGGCTCCACAGCTTTACCCTGATGAATTGCCTGGAGGCTCAGTGTTGCCGAGCATTCCACGTGGCCGACCTGTATGGGGGACTGCTCCTGCAGGTAGCAGCCCCGGTATACCCTCAGCTATGTCACTACTTCCGACGGTGACCATCGAATCAGGGTTCTTATCACACATGTCTAACAAAAGGATAGCTGACTTCAGAAGCCTTTCCATACCAGCCATGTCAGCTCTTAAAACTGACGCCCTAAATTTGGCTCCGAAACGTATCGGCTCGGACTCTGAGCCGCCATTCGGACGTGGTATCCTTGTTTCAAGGAATTCTCGTGGTCGAGCGGTCGTCACCACAGTACCATCCGCGAATGCTATCTACCGAGATGTATACACTTCAGTATTCAACCGATCTCATCTTCTACCTTTCTCGTTCATCGTGCACGGTGATCAGCAGGATGTTTTCTATTTTGTGAAAGAAGAGACCTGGCGAGCTGCTGATGATAAACAGCAGCTAAAACGTATGCAAGGCAAATTGAACGTAACTTTCCACGAGATTGCTGAAGGCGGCCGATCATACGCAGATGTAAAAATTCATGGAAAGACAAGTATAGTGAACTTGCGGTACGGCACAAGCGCGGAACGGGAGCGCCAACGGCTACTGCACCACGCGCGAGCCTCGGCCGGGCGCAAAGCGTGGCATCGCGAGCGTGAAGCGCTCCGCAGCGGGCTGGGTGGCTCGCTAGACTGGTCGGCGGCTGAATTAGACGAAATTCAGAAGGCTGGACAAGTTGCCGGCTACGAAGGCGAATACGTGCACGATGTGGCGCGTTATCCCGAGCTTGCGGAGGACCCGTACAATATCCGTTTCGTGAAGAAGCGGTCGGACCGCGCTGAGCGGCGCCGACGAAAGCGCGAGGATTGCCAGGCGCCTTGGTGGCTCGCCTGGGACGATATCTGCTAGTGACGTGCCGCCATCCATATGCCAAATGGTGTGAATGTGAAAATAGGTGTGTGCGAACGGTGAAGAATGGGCGTGTGAGTGTTTGTGGAAATATATTTTGTAAATAGTCTCTATTAATTGTTAATTGTTGATGTATGTATGTACGGTAGATGCGAATCCCTATCGCTGTGTAAATAATAAAGTTTAATTTGCAGGGAGAGAATGGACCTTTTGAGAGGACTGATATTAAAAATAAATGTAATGTATGTATAAATAAGATTTATGTGAATATGAAATTATTTATACTTATTTATCGGTAAAAAAGCTTCATTGTGTCCAATGTTCTTATAAATTTAGATGAAGACTATTTGAAAGAATAAAAAGGCATACTTTTTTAACCAAATCAAACTGTAGTTTTTTTAACCATATTTATAAATTAAGTATTTTATGCAATAGCTAAACAAGCTAATTAGTTATAGATAACACTAGTCAACAAAATGAAAATATTTTTTCTATGTCTTAAAGTATTTCATGTGATTTGTGTTCTATGAGATATAATATAAAAAGTAAAATAAAACCCAATATTTGTTTGTTGTTCTGTTATATCAATTTTTCAACTTACACGTTTATTTAGATTAGACTAAAAAAAATCCCTTTTTAATTTTGTTGTTGTTAATAAAGGAAACTCCAATCCATTTTTAACATCCAGCATTGGTTTGCAAGTATCGCAGGTTTTTTTGCCCTTTATACTATTTTTTCATTACAATAACATCTTGGTGAAATGAAATCACTTTCCATATTCACCATTCATTCAGATTATGGTTGTTATTTATCAGAAAAAAACCTAAACGCGTCTCCAGAACAAATATTTTTTATACACGTTTTGCATTTCATTACAAAGAGCGTGCAATATTTCTACAGAATATGAACATATTGCGGGATGTATAAAAGTCCAGGCTTCCTTTTTAACATTGACTTTCTGATCCTACCTACAAAATATCACCTCCTAATTTTGGATTCAAAACTCTCTTCAGGATTGGGTCTTTCTTCAGAATAAACTCAAATCATTCAAAACAATATTTATTTTGCTTGAGAACATCCAACTTAAAATATGCAACATGTACAACAAATATGAGACATGAACAAAATACATGTTTATAGATAGGATATATATGTTACTAAAAAACCCGAACTACGGTTAATCCCAAGATTTACCGGTAAAACCAACGAGTCTACCAATCACTTGGTAAATCTTAAGATTTACTTCAAATACACGGTATCTGAATGGCGATAAACAGACATGTTTCACCAACAATAGAGGGGATCTAGCGCTTCCCCTTTTTATTAATACTTACATTTACCAACTCCTAAACCTAATATTTACCGTAGTTCTGGCGTTTACAGTTACATATATTATATGTCATCATATTTTATTTTATTTTTTCATTTATTTTTTATTTAAACGGCCTGTTGGTCTAGTGGTTAGTGACCCTGACTGCTAAGCCGTAGGTCGTTGGTTCGATTCCCACCCAGGACAAATATGGTGTGATGAGCACGATCATTTGTTTTGTGTCTGGGTGTAATTTATCTATGATATGTATGTATTTAGAAATATATAAGTATGTTTATCAGCAGTCTGGTTACCATAGTACAGGTTTTGTTAGGTCCTAGTTTGGGATGAGACTGCCGTGTGTGAGATATATGCAGTTATCATTAATATTAAGCTATTTTCGATAAACACGACATAACACGTTGCATACATTTCTTATTATAAGTTACATGAAGAGATTATTCCGGAAGTCTTAAAAAGCCTTTAAAAGAACTAAATACTGCAAAACAATGGATACAAACATCTAAACTACAAACTCGAGCAGATGTCATAAACACTACCACATAATTCTACCGACGGCTATATAGCGCCTCTAAAGACCGTATGTACCATGAAAATATAGAAAGTCTAACTGCACCAAATCAAAATATAGAGACACCATATTTCAACGAGATCTACATATTAAGTAAATTGGAGAAATTAAGATGACAAAAGTCCCAGCACCGATGGAATATCACATGAAGCCATAAAATTTGCTAAACCAGTGATCCTTTACCCCTAACCTTACTATTTAACAAAAGGCATAAACAAAGACATAGACATAATCAGAAATAATACTGTTGTATGAGAAAGGAGACCCAGCAGAAGTAAGGAATTACAAACCCATAAGTATAATGCGATGTTTGTATAAATCCTTTACTAGCTGCGACTACGACAAAGAAAAACATCAACCAAGAGAGCAAGCAGGGTTTAGAAAATCGTTCAGCACCATTGACCACAGTAAAAGTACTAGAATAAATAGTAGAAAAATATTATGAATTTCGCAGGCCACTATACCTCGCTTTCATCGACAACAAGAATGCATTTGATTCTATATCTCACCAAAGCATCTGAAAAGCCCTCTACGAATAAAATATAACCAACAAATATATCAGAATCATTAAATACGTTTACGAAAACAGTATTAGCAAAATCAAACTAGAAAGTTCAGGATAAAAAATAGTAATACAGGAGACAGAGAACTTAGACAGGGCGATCCCTTATCATCTATCTTGGGACAAAAAGGGATTAAAAATCGACAATGAGCGTCTCCAGCATCTATGCTTTGCAGACTACATTGTGCTGTTCTCAGAGAGCACCGCAGAGGTCCAATCCATGATAACTTAATAACGGAAGCACAAGCGTCGGCCTGGAAATAAACATCTCAAAAACGAAGGTCATGTCTAACCACCACAGAACTTCGATTCAAATAGTAACATCATAGATTACGTTAATGTATTCATATATATATTGATCTATGTAGGCAAACAGATATCCTTTCGCAAAAATAACAACATAGAAGAAATAGACAGGTGAATATCAATCACATGGAAAAAGTTCTGGGGCTATAAAGAAGTTATGAAGTCTAACATGGACTTAAAATTAAAAAGAGAAAGTAATGGATTCACGATATTACCCTGTCTCACATATGGCTGTCAAACGTTGATATTTGATTCAACAACCAACAGAAAGCTAACATCATGTCAAAGAGACTTAGAACGCAACTCACTAAAAAAAAATTGGAAGAGAGACCGTCACACGGCAAAAAGAAAGCAGACTGGGGTGATAGATGCCTTGTCCTTCGCCCGAGGTCTGAAATGGAGATGGACGGGTCATGTGGCACGCTACACTGACAACAGGTGGACATAGACCGTGACTATGTGGATAGGAGCTTATGGGCACAAAAGCAGAGGGAGACCAAAGGCAAAGTGGAAGGACAAGATTGAGACCGTCGGAACACGTTATTGGTCCAACCTCGCAAGAAATCGCGACGAGTGGCAATCTCTGGACTAGGCCTTCACCCGAAGAGAGGTCCAGATGGCATGTATATTGGACTCCACACCCATAATATTCATACGTGGGTACAAGGCAATGGAATAATAAAGGCTTTTTATGTTATTTATTTAAGACATTATTTACTAACTAGCTTTTGTATGCGACTTTGTCCGCGTGGTGGTCAACATCAGACATCGTAGTAATTGTACTGAGAGTTAAAAAACAAATAGTTCCATACACACTTTTTAAGGGTAGTTTTGAAAAATTAGGACCGTTTTTATTACGTTTAATAAAGAGCATTTACAGAGAGTTTGAAAATGCTACTACCGAAAACAATGAAGTTTCATGTAAATTAGTAAACATCTTAATGTCAATGTTTTGTGTACGTACCTACAATATGAAATGTAATATCAATGTCACATAAACCATTATAAAGTCTAGATTGTTTATTATGACAATAAAAACAATCTGATAATTATATAAGAAGACGAATAATTTAATAAAAGACTTCTGGGAACGTGATAATAATACAATAAAATACAATTTTGTGTAAAAGTTATTTATTTATGTTCGAACCGTCAATCTTTGAACAACATATTCAAGTTAATTTTTACAATATCAATTCTATACACAAAATTCATATCAACGCAATCATAAAATTTTAATTGTACACCGTTAATGTTATAACCGTCTGAATCCATTATCACATGTCACCTAAAATAAAATTATATTTACAATGTGGTTTAAATCGACCAAGTTGACACTGATACTTCATACAACCTCAAACTGAATTATATTGTATTTATAAAAATCTCCATTCGAAAATATATACAATAATTATTTTATATCTTAAATTATAGGTACATTCGCATGTTTCAAATAAACTTCTATGTTACAATCATCTACATATTGAGCTACACGTTCGTAAACAAATGAGATCAACAAAACGCATTATTTAACTACACTTCGACTTATGCAATATTTGTGTTAATAGCAAAAAAATATGTCCACGCAATCTATCATATACCTAGGAAGTACTTCAATATCTACAAAACAAAATAGTTCTCTTATCTAGGCATGTCATAGAATGCCGTATGAACACATGTCATCAACTAAAATAACTATAAATATAGCGACACCGCTTTACAAGTGAGTACATAAAAACTGTACACAATAAAATATATGTAATGGTATGCCTATTTCAATATTTCGGCAGGTAACATTATATTTATATATTATATTTAACAAATTATTGTGCGCGTGCATTGTAATAATAACTACTCGTAAATTAGTTAAGAACAATGGAAACTTGTTCAAAAGAGGAATCAAGTTTCATTCATTCATGAATACAAATTATTTCTTCCTCTGGCATAATATTGGCAAATGCATACGATAAAAAATGTAAAGAATACAAACGAGGACGGGATAGTTAGAAAATAGAAAAGTTATTTCATACATTGGGATAGAGTAGGATGGTTGTCGAAGCAATTTATAGGAATCACTGTTAAAATATCTGAATCTTGCACTATTTATATATACACCTATGCATAATAACAGCTACAAAAGTGCTATGAAAAATAAGAATTTTACTATATACAATCTGTCTATCATTATTTGATTTCTGATGCCTTGATTTCTGGTTCACAAAATAACCGTCAATTCGTTGTTACTTCTCTACCGGCAAATGTACAAATTATTGAATACAGAAAAAACTACAAATATCACATAAAATCATTGTAAACGATATCTCTAGTCATTCTCAATTCATGTTTATACACATGTTTCGAATGCCCTTTAAAATAAACATCTTTCTTTATCTTACAATATTTCAGTGTTACATTACACAAGTACGAACAGTTATAACAATACCTATGCATTTCCCTATTATACCTGCAGTAGATAACGTGAGTTTAGGCCTATTAACAAATTTCTAGTTTCGTGGCTACTTCAGTAGAAAATAGTTTATGCCCAGACTTTAAGCCCAAGTCTGGACATAAAGTAGTAACTCCCGAAAGTTTTATGATATTTTCCATATATATTTTGCTAACTATAGATAAAGACAACCGTAACGACGAAAGAGAAAACAAGCGATATTCATAATACAAATATGTAGCAAACTCAAACTTAAATAATATTAGCTCCCTAGTTAATTCTTTTTGTCTACACTTTTATATATTAAAGGCAGAATATAAACGCAATGTATGCAATTGCCAACATTATGTGTACAGTTTATTCAGTAATATGTGCAATATATTGACAACTATTCATTCTATATATCCATTGCAATACAATATAATCATTAGTTATAAATTTAAAAGGTTCTGTAGATTTTCATTAAATTCAAACATAACTTGTACATAGTTAAGCGTGTCCGCTTAAAATCCACAATGTCTGTCTAATCTGATTAATTTAGTACATACATATACAGGGGGTGGCTTTAAGTACAATTATTTATTACATCATTTTAATACCAATTACTTAAAAAAAAATGTTTTAGTTACGATTGAGTTAAATTGATCTAAAGAATAAACTTATAGTAGCATAACGAAAAACTTTCATCATTATCCAGATTATGCGATCTATTGCATTGTAAATTATATCGACTACATGCTGCAATTTCCTAAAATGTGCCAGTATACATGCAAGTTTCTATTGAACATAAGGTAGGTTTAAGTAAGGTAAGTAAATAAGGTAGGTCCATATGGAATAAAAACGCATACGACCATCAGACCACTACACATTGACGTCATCGATTCAGCAGCCTGCGGGATATCTCATAGATTTCGGTAAGACAATACACTTAAATGATCATGCACGCTATTAATATGAAGTATATTTACACTTTAACGTATGATAGAGCAGTTAGTAGAAAAGAAAAAAGTGTTTACGACGCAACAGGATAAATTCATTACTTTGCACGTGGCCACTCATTACTATGAAGAAATACGTATTTATTACACAACAACAACTACGGCGAAATGCAACGGGTACCTATATGCTGGATCTCAGTACGTTTTTGTAGCCGATTTCACATAATGTTTAAACTTATACCACATATTGATTTTAAATATTACCTTATTGCTCTCCTTCTACATTTAAATTTGAAGTATTCCAAATTTCATACATCTACTTTGCAAATATTGCTTAAAATGAGGTACAAAGAATTGTTTTTACATATTATTATATCTAAACTCACTACACGACACCAAATATATTCTAGTATTTGCTACGCATAACTATACTGTTATAACGGTATCATTGTGTTACAAACAATTAAACAACTTTATAACTCACCCTCTATAAATATATGAGAAATTAGTAGACAGATTCTACATTACAATACAGATTCATACCATCCAGTCCTTAATATCAGTTTAATAAATAAAATAATAAGAATTATTAACATAATAATGCTTTGTTATATGAAGATGAGCTTACACTACTAATCATGAATAACGGATAACAATAAAACAGTGTGACATAGGAGGATCATTTCATCAAATAAATAATTCACAATTAAAATAAAGTGTACAGAACAAAAAACTACAGAACCTATTAAAACGACGTTACACATTAAAACAAACATCCATCGAATGCACATGCGTTACCAAAACGGAACGAAAACGTAAAACAACATCGCTACTCCAACTACAAATAGCTGTGATGCTTACACGCAACTATCTATATAATACATATTTACAACTTATTAAACACAGATTCACCAATCACTGCAATATATTGTACTTCATTTGAGTTCCAAAATAATCAGTACTAAATTGTCATGTAAACAGTGATTTTGATTAATACTGATTTACGCAAGTTTTCTACTTTAATGCAAGTGAGTCTTAATAGGGCTTACTACTCTTACTGTATTAAATGTTACTGTATGTCATCCTGTGTGCTATTTAAATTTGTTTATTTTAACAAATCCCATAACAACATTGATATATACAGCAGTCGTTAACAATTTCAACAACAATTAAAATCTTTACTATTATAATAATATCCGGATTCATTAAAATATCTATTTTACTATGTAGTAACTTTTAGCTTCTATTCTCCATGCATGTCATGATTCAATCACTTTTAATGTTGCGTTTAAAATTAAATTTCATATACATAATATATATAATTAATTAACTTGTGACATTCAAATAATAAAAATACATGATTGAACATTATATAGGTACGATAAATAATTCAAATAAAATGTGTCATATACATGATTAAAACAAATAATACCATCATAATATATTGTACGTCGTGTGATGAAACCGGTGAATTTTATATAGGCTCTATAGAATACAGTTGCTACTATAAAAATCAGTGGTCGTTTATGTGACACAGTTAGAAATAGCGACATTGAAGATATTCCCTATTTAAAATTGAATCTATTTATTATATTGAAAATATTAATGCACTATTTATGACATTAAACTGTCGTAATTTTAATTATAAACCTCATAGTCATAGTAACTGTAATAAGTATGAAACTTGAATAAAATAAATACAAATCCATTAAACACTCACAACTATGTTAAAGTCTCTATCGGTGAATTGAATGGCCGCTGGGTACGTATGTGTGTAGGACAGCGTCAAACTGCGCACGGCACTGATCACTAACATTATTACGTAATAATTTATTTAAAAGTTATATTTACAGTGTATTTCACTAGGGGCGGATCCCTAGCTTCATCGTCCCACCACTAGGAGCTGTCAGCGTTCGATTTTCGTCGCACTTGCTGCGCGTTCATCGCCTGTGCCGCAGCTTGGCTTATAAATTGACTGGTTCCTGTAACAGGAAAACGTTTACTTTATTGTACCAGTTACATAATACACATAGATAGAAGTAAAATTGCATAGCAAGCTTTTAAAGCTGCGGTAGTCACGCTTAAGTAATAGAACATAAATTTATACGACCGGCCCCGGACCTAAAATTGCCTTGAATCCAACAAAGAGTTGTTTTTTTTAAGTTAATAACAACTAACTTGAGTCGCTTGAACTTAAAAGAAATCAATCCTGATTTTTGTAAGTATTCATTCTGTTTCATAAAAGTATCATTGTATTTTAGATGTCTTCAAAACCAGACCAATAAACACAATTATTACTTTTAGTACTAAGAAAATCACTCAACATGGCTGGCTAATGGCATTACTAAGAGGACATATCCTCCTAAAAACGCTATAATTTTTTGAATAATGGTTCGACCGCGAACAACTTCTGTGGGCAAATTTTCTTAAAACAAACAGTGCGTGGATCGTTGCTACGTGAGAAGATCGTAGCTGTAGATCCAAGTTTTGTCAGTTTTCAGGATGTATAGGATACGTTTTGCCAAGTTTCTCATTAAAACTATCTATACATCTGTACAAATAAATAAAATTAAAGTGTATGTTTGTAATGTCAAAATAAAAAGTTATTTCCATGCTCACGCGGTTATTTGCACAATGTCTATGCCTAAAAACCAGTTTAAATATTCTTGTCTGTGTTTTGTTTTTTTGCGCAGGGTAATTTTCAAAACGGCTGGACCGATTTTGATAATATTTTACTGCCAGGTACAGTGAAATTAGTCTCGAGAATTTTTTGCATATGTAGTGGTGTGTATATTACTCAGATCTTAGAGCGCGTTTCCACTATATCGTTCTGGCCTATACAAAAATGTTTCGATATCTTAACATTACTATTTAATTTTATACTTATCCCTAGCAACACTCTGATTTTTGTTTTCAATAAAAACAAGTTTTTATTTTAAAGAAAAAGGTTTTGACTTTATAAAAAAAAAAGGTGTGTGTGCGATTCACACACGATAGAAGTGAAACTTCAAAGAGGAGAGACCGATATTTAATTTTTTTTTTCCTTTCATCTAGGTTTTTAAAACTCCGGGGGGTCTACGGGGGGGGGGTCAAAATTTTTGTTATTTTTGGCCTAGGACGCACCGTTTCCGAGATATTTCAATCTAAAGCAAAAAATCGTCACTTGATAGTGGAAAGTGGAAACACGCACAAAACCAGAATAAACCAGTTTACGCTGTCCGCAGGTGCCACTACTACAAACGCAAAAATTTCTCAAAGCTAATTTACCTGTAGCTATCTATATAAGGAATTAAGTAAGTAACTTGGGCTATTTTTTCTCTGATCAAAACCCTATAAAATTTGGTCTGGTCCGAGAATCGAACCCGAGGCCTCATGGAGTGCAGTCGCATACCGTAGTTGTTAGTGGTGTAGACCAAGGCAGCGCTTTTTAGAATACACGTGAACGAAGTCGCGGGTACCAACTAATTCTAGCTTAAATTTGCATCAATCAACACGACGGGGTTTGTGCTCTTTTCGATGAGAGAATAAGAGTATCCATCGCGAAGTAAGTTTCCTAGCTTTAAGGTGTTCATACAGGATGGTGAAAACAGCCTGTGATCCAATCTTTAGTTCAGTCTTAATCTCTCAATGTATAGAGTGTCTATTATCAAGCAATAGCCCTTCCACCCTGATGACATTTTCATGAGTTACTGCAGGTGCGTACTGTAGGTCGGCCAGGTCTGGGGTCATCTTTTAGGTTGTCTGGACTTAAATTAAATTCACGAAACCAATTAGTAATCGTTTCTAACACGGGAGCAGATTCCCCAAAGCAGCTGTAAATTTTCGTGAGATTCCTTGAAGGTTAACTAACCCTCGTTTGTAATTTAAAAAAATCATAGCACGATCTTTTCGCGAAACGTCCGTTGTGCAAAAAAAGAGTGACAGATTTACTTTAAAAGAACTTACACATAGGAAATTAAGATTTATTTCACAACAAACCTGTCAGTTCAAACTAGTTTGAAAGAAAAAAGAGAAGTAGGCGTAGGTAACGCAACGTTGGGAAAGAGCTAGGCATACCGACCTGTGGCAGTGGGCAGGGGTGAGGGGTGCGCCGGCGCTGGTATCGGCGCGGAGGGCGGCGCGGGCGCGGCGGGGCGCGGCGGGCGCGGCGGGGGGCGGGGCGGCGCGCGACCGCTGCGCACCACCTGCACGTTGCCGCCGCGGACCCCGCCCTTCACGCCACCCGCTGACATCAGTTGCGCTAGAGCAAAGCGATTCGTTACAAAATCCCCTTATTTAGGCAAGATCGGATAAAATGAGAAGGCAAGGAAATTCATTTTTTTATTCATTCTTATTCTTTAGTTTTTAGGGTTACTACTTTCTTTATATTTGAATTTTACTAGATGGGCAGTATCCAAATCACTCGAAGTTCTGAGGTAATGAACATAAAAAAAAACAAAAGTGAATTCAAAATGAAGATTCTGAATTCACTAGTTTTTTTTTTTCTTTTTTCCTTTTTGAAGTCTGTTAAAAATCGATACTGACTTACCTATAGGCAAAGAAAGCACCGAGGGTGGATTGGTTAGGACTACAGACGTAGTGGGCGGTACCGATACCAGGAGTCCGCTTGGCGCCCCAGAAACGTTCAAGGACAATGAAATCGGGGCCGACAACCCCGGGATTTGAACTTGAACATTCTGTAGGCCTTGAAGTCCCTGGAGACCTTGTAGCGATGCTAAACTTAAACCCTGTGGAAGAGAGAAAAAGCAGCTTTATACCACAATACCCCTACAAGGGTACAATGATGCTTAAAAAATTAGTGTTGCTGAATATTAATACACGTGCATGGTACAACATATAAGTGATAAACGTTTGGCTTGAACACGTCTGCCAATTTAAATTTTGACATTTTACATAATATTTTTAAACTTAAATTCTGTCTAAAAATTGAATTATTTTATAAAAAAATATACAGCCAAGTAAACAAAGTTTCTGTAAATGAAGTCAAGAGTAAATCTACATGTTTTGATAGTTTTGAAGTTTATTAAAATTCTAGTCAAACAAGGTACGCTCTTAGACTAAATATTTATTGAGAAAATAAATTAGTAATTGCCTTATGTAAGTTAATAATTTTCTTATTGAACATATATATACTAACAATAACCTTGATACTACCATAAATGTAATAAAGTTTGGATGGATATAATACTCAAGCACGCCAGAATGGCTGAAAGGATCTTAACGAAATTTGGCACAGATTTTAGTCCGGAATAACACATAAAAAAATATGAAAAATAAAAAATTATAAAACGTAGCGGACAAAATCTAGACATCCATAAGATTTTCTCGCGCGAGCAGTTTGCAGTGTTCACGACTGTATTTGAATTCACGAATCAGGAGGCATAAAATATTTTGTGTTTTAAGCTGAGAAGGCTCTCATGACCGATTGTATAAAATTACGTAACATAATTTGGCAAAAGTGGGTGTCAATCTATTTTTTCATCATCATAGATGACCATCATAGTTCTGTCATCATCATTGTTACAAAAAAACGAAAACTACCTATCTGCTTAGTTTCACTTCTCTTATTTTCATTTGTGTGGCACTATCTGCTGTCTATTATAAACGTTGATTCTTAAATGTATCACAGAACAACTGAACCAAGAACCTTAATCAATCAGAGCAGGTTAAATATGAATCAGCGTTATTTTACCTGTAAATGACACACAGGTTGTGGTTGCGATGCGGGTGCTGTCGCCGTCTCAGGACCGATCAGTCTCTCCAACAGAGCGCTCTCACTACTGGACACGTTTGTCGCATCATTTTCGCGAGTGTAGTTACTCATTACTTGTACACCGACACCCTGATGCACAAATAGTATAAAATTGAACAAATGCATAGAGTTTATTTATGCACCTTGTATTAGTTGGAGAGGCTTGAAGAGTTTGTTCTTAATTATTTTTATTAAATATTAAAGCTTGTGTAAATTCTCACTCGGTCAGTATACTTATGAAATAATAATAGGTTGAACTTTTGCCAGTTGTTCATCCCACAAACACATTCATTAAGACCATGTTAAATGATGTGAAAATATCAATGTAAATCATCTCGCAAGGTCGCCGTCGGAGACACTGTACCAGTCGCACTGTAGGTTCCAGCCAGATTAAAATAAACGTGTATACGCCTTTTTTTGTAAAATCTAGACATATACTGGGTCTACCAATAGGGATGACCTGATTTTGACAGCTCATAGGGGCCATGTTTGATGATGGATCTTTGACGTCTCTTGACATTTGTGTTCAGTAAGGTTTGCCATTTTATCATGTCACGTTTCACTTTAAACCAACGCTTGGAACTTCTTTGAAAGTGACGAAGGAAACCCTGTTACTGTGAATGGCGAGCGCTATAACTCGATGTTAACTGAATATTTCTTTCCGGAATTTGATGATATTGATGCAGACGACCTTTATTTTCAACAAGACGGTGCACCACCTCACATTACTCGAGTGAACATGGAATTATTGCGTGGAAAGTTTGGTGAGTCGTTCATTCCGAGAAATGGACCGATCAGTTGGCCACCCAGATCGTGTGATTTAACACCTTTAGACTATTTTCTTTGGGGTTACGTTACATCTAAAGTGTACAGCAATAATCCAGCTACAATTCGTGACCTAAAAACCAACATTCGACGAGCCATAGCCGACATACCGGCCGAAATGGTGCATCGCGTCATCGAAAATTGGCGTGAGCGGGTGAACGTCTGCAAAAAGAGCCGCGGGGGTCATTTGGTCGATATATTATTTAAAACATAAATTGCATAAAATTATCTATCAAATAAATCAATCGGATGCCTTTTTCATAAAAATTGTGTGTTTTATTCAATTTTTAAACCAAGACGTTCTTATTGGTAGACCCCATACAAAACCGGCAACGGTATATACCTAGGTTGTGCTAACGTCCGTAACTTAGAATACGACAATATTTCTTAAATAACGAGTTTTAGAGTTCACTTCGTTTAGCACAAAAAATAATATAGTCTAAAAAATCAATAAAAACTAAAACTCTAAGGACAGCAGTGATTCAGAGGAATATTGAATGAGATTAGACAGATTTGTGCCTATGCTAATATCTACCTCATACTTATATCTAGAACCATAATTATATATTCTAAATCTAAGACCTTAGGTTTGGACTTGAAATCATATCCCTATTTAAAAACAATGTTTAATTTTGGTTTATACAATATCTGACCAACGTACTTAAGAAGACGAATGTGTTCGGGACCTTGGTGTTATTCTTAATAAACAACTAAATTTTAAGGAACATTATGATCACATAATCTCTAAATCACTCAAAACCCTCGGTTTTATAATAAGAAACACTAAGAACTTCAAAAGCTTAAGAACTTAGAGACTGGCCCGGTCTAGTATAGAATACTGCTGTGTAGTATGGCATCCGCATTATGAAGTTCATTCCAATAAAATTTAACGCGTCCAAAAAAGATTTATTTACTACTTGACATATAAATTTAACCTGTCAAAGAAGCTAACTAGTTACACAAACCGACTAACTCATTTCAATATAACATCATTAAAAAACGGGCGCAAAGTTTTAGATGTATATTTTTTACCGAAGTATTATTATTATTATTAACCTTGGCTGTTTCTCTTCCTTCAATAGGTGTAGGTGTAGGCGTAATATAATTCTATTAGTAAAAATAAGGAAATCGATATGTTTAGATTAAGTTTACCTTTTTTTTAAAAGAAACTATTATTGTTAAGCTATGTATGTAATTAGGACATACTGAAAGTTCCTGGATTCTGATAAATAAGACTAGATATTATACTTACGATACATGTATTGCTTTTCAGAGTATATTCTGACGCAATTAGTACACTTTTGCATACGCTGAAACCACAGTACAAAGCTGTTGGACCAGTCTTCCTTAGGGACCTCTTCTATGGCTTCATGGAACGCATTCACCGCCGATTCAGGGCTCGTAAAACGTGTGCCTCTAAGTTTTTCTTTAATTTTTGGCAACAAAAAGAAGTCGCAGGGTGCGAGGTCCAGGCTGTAAGGCGGATTCGTCATCAGTTCCACATTTGAAACCTTCAAATAGGCTTCTGTTACCTTAGTGGAATGTGAGAACGCGTTATCGTAGTGAAGGAAGACATTGCTTCGAAGACTGGTCAAGCAAGCGTTGACATTCCAATCTACAGTCACTGTTCTTTGGTCTTCAAGCGATACTGTAGTGCAATATCCTGATTTGTCGAAAAAATAAGCAACCATTTTTTATCAATGCTTCGACTTTTTCGGGTTCAAAGCGGTACAGCCAGGTTTCGTCACCTGTCTCTATATTATAGACAGTCAATGGCTGTCCACCGTTAAACTTTTATATCATTTTACGGCAGCACTAGACACGAAGTCGTTTCTGGTCCTCCGTTAAATCATGCGGTATCCATCGAGTTCAAAGCTTCTGAACCTTCAGATGCACATGTAAAATGTTTTGCACTTGGCTCATTTCAATGCCTAACAAAGCACGAATTTTCTGGTAAGTAATTATCTTATCAATTTCAATAAGTTGTCGTACGGTGTCAATATTAGTCTGTAACCGCAGTCGCCGGCCGACCTTCACGTACCTCGTCATAGAGATGATCACGTCAGTCAAACAGGTCAAACCAACGAATGCGAGGAGCTGCAACATGGTGCTTCATCACCAAATGAAAATTGAAGTCTCCGGCAACTCTGTTGTTGACTTGAGCCACAACGAAAATCATTGAACGAAAATGTTTACGAGTTAAATTCATTTTGATAGCCACATACAATTTTCGAAAGGACGTCAATGAAAAAACAAATGACAGTCCCGCAAATTAAAAAGTAACATGTTCCCAAAGAGTTCCATTTTCGAATTCCATAATTGTTTTTTCATTCTTTTACTTTCACTTACAAAGTGGCCATATCCAGAAACTTTCAATATGCCCCACGTATAAGGATTTATGTATTTTACTGTACATTTTTAAGAAGTTATTTTGTAAGAAAAAGTCTGCTCAAATATTTTTTTAGTTAGGGGAAGCCTTACGCTCCCAACATCATCATCTGCCTACCCTTTTCCCAATTTTATTTGGGGTAGACGCAGTATGTATGATTTTTCCATTCTACTCTGTCATGCGTCATCTCACTGTTTACTCCCTTCCCAGCCATATCCTCCCTCACGCAGTCCATCCACCTTTTCTTCGGTCTGCCTCTTCTCTTGAACCCTTCAACTCCCATACCTAAAACTTTCTTCGCCACATTTATCTCATCCCTCCGCATGACATGTCCATACCAAGATAACCTATTACTTCTTAACTTTTCATCCAGTGGCGCTACTTTCAGACTCCCTCGTATATACTCATTCCTAACCTTGTCCATCTGAGTCACACCACACATCCATCTCAGCATTCGCATTTCGGCTACGTTCAGGCGTCTCTCATCCGTTCTCTTAATGGTTCAACTTTCAGAACCATACAAGACGGCAGGTCTGATAATAGTTTTATAAATTTGTCCCTTCAGTGTTAAGGGGAAACTGGGGTCGCAAGTTGTTCCCGTTACCTGCCGCCACTTCATCCATCCCGTATTAATTCGATGCTGTACAGATCGATCAATCTCACCATCACATTGTAAGAGGGAGCCGAGGTACTTGAAATTGGAGCAGACTGTTATCGCTATCCCATCCAGCGAAATGGTTTCAGAACTGGAGAGACCGCCGAAATCGCAGAACATGTACTCAGTTTTGGTTCTGCTGATTTTCAAACCAACATTCTGAAGCCTTTGTTGCCAGTTTTCCAGTCTGCTCTGGACCTCAACCCCACCTTCACCGACCAACACAATGTCATCTGCAAATAGGCTTACGCTCCCAACATCTTTTATTATTATGCTTTCCGTGGCAACCTGTAATTGAGACAGTACTAATGCTTGTATACCACTGCCTCAATCACAGGACCTGTCTCTTATGCTTTTATAAGTCTAAATAAATAAATAAAATGTGTGTGATTGTGAAGGTTAAGACTAGCAAAAGCGCAGAAGTGGTTTTGGCGAGAAGTGAGAGGATATGTTAAAACATATATACTCACTTCTCCCATGTATGTGTACACAACGTTTTGTCGAAAGTCTAGGTGAAAAACGTGGAAGGTCACAAAAGCCATCTCGAACCGGCTACAGGTCTTTGTTAACGGCTGCCATCGCCGAATGCTTGGGGTATACTGGCCCGAGATCTCCAATGAAGATCTGTTGGAACGCTGCCACGAATCACCGATCGAACTCCAGATCAGCGCCGCAAGTGGAACTGGATTGGCCACACTCTGCGTAGAGACCCCGACATAGACTCCGAGGCAGATCTAATTTATTTTAGAACTTTGCGTTCAAAAGTTATTTTAGTTTATAGTGTGAATATTGGCTGTACTGAAGTCGATACCAATGACAGCTGCCTGTCACAAATGAGTTGTCATTGCTGTCAAAAAGTTAACCTAGATATCTTTCAAAATCATTGCTTTATGATTTTCTTGGTCAGTCAATAAAATGATGCCCTGTCAAATCAGTTTAATTAATTTATTTACATAATGTTCACGATTAATCTAATCGATTTGAATAAAAGTTATTAGTACCTTTAATTAGATTGAGTGATTTATAATAATAATTCCTTTATTACTTCGTCTAATCTGTACAGTCAACATCATTAATGTTTGTTTTTGACTCCTAAACACACCAGTGAGCTCATTCATTAATCTCGATGTAAATATATCGTTTTTTATATAATACATATTTTATGTATGGCAAGTTTAGAAAACGTAGGAATGCGTTTTGTTAACAACACTTGAACGTTTAGTTATTGCAGTTGTAACAATTCTTCGAGAAGAATTTATTTACTTTTAGCAAAGTTCTAAAAATATAAAAAATTATATGAAAATAGGATGACTCGCTTTACCGATGTAGGTATTAACAGTACAAATTTCATAATCACGGGTACAAGATCTGCCGTTCTCTTTTTATTTCACCACTTTGTTATTGTGATAAGTATTATATGCAATGCAAAATAACTTATATACGAATATGTACTTTTTAGCTACTAACAGTCTCTAAGCTAAGCCGCGGACGGATGGACAGGCAGACATGGCGGAACTATAAGTATTTCTAGTCTTACTAAGGAACCCTTGTTGTAAGGAAATGGCGCTCTATGTGCTCAAAAAAAAATTGCAAATTCCAACATCTAACCTTGAGAATCAGCACTTCGAGCCTTGAAAATTTCTGTAAAGATTGTCGTGGGCAGAGTTAGGGTAATGAATCAAATATTGCTTTAAAGTATTCTGGTGTTCAGTCAAGTCAGTAACAAAAAATGTGAATTTGCAATTTGCCCATGTGCAGCACACTCGCTAAATTTAGTAGGTGTTGAGGCTGTTCAATGTGCTTTCAAAGCTGTAGCATACTTTCAGCTTATCCTAAATTTGTGTAATTTCTTCTAGACTTCGACCAAACAATGGAAAATTATGACTGAGCATCCTGAAGGCATGAATGGTCTGCACGCGCAAAAGCTTTGCAAAGTGGTTATTTAAATATTTCTGAAGCTTTGTTCACAATCGCAAGAAACAAGCTCAATGAAAAAAAAACCTAGCAAAGAAAAAATGGAAAAATTGAAGTCAATTTCAAATAGACTTCAATTGATACAGGCTATTTAACCTGGGCATACTATGACCGAGATATGGAATATTTTTATGAATCATGAATAAAACAAGTTTAAGTTTATAGAATAGCACTATAACCATAGACGTTGCAACTTTTATGAGTATGAATCAGTTGCTAAAGAAAAAATCCAATACTGACTATACAGATGAGCCTTTAAGAAAAACAATTCATAGCGCACTTTTTTTCTAATGTCATCAACTGTAGGGACTGTACAGTTGTGTTTTTTTTTTTGTGTAGTTTTTTTGTTTATCCCTATAATCGACGCATTATATATAATAATAATAATAATAATAATAATAATAATTTATTTGCCAAAAAAAAAAAATTTGATTCAAGGTAAACATGTTTCTAGGTGTCATAACCATCACATTATTTCATTGAACTCTGGTACCCAAGGTAAGATTAAACTTGTAGTATGGGTAACCAGGGCTCTCGCATAAACATATACAAAACAAGCAAAACACTATCTTAGTGACTTGTTGTTACAATATTAGTGCATTATAAATTAAAATATTTCACAATCACAAAAAATGTTGGAATGTGTGCGCGCTCACGCGCGTTGTGTGTGTGTATGTGCGAGTGTGTGTGTGTGTGTGTTAGTGTGTGTGTGTGTGTGTGTGTGTGTGCGCGTGTGTGTGTATGTTTGTCTCTGGACTGTGTGTGAGTGTCTTGAATTGAGTCTGTATGGGTGTATGGTTTTATAGCGTTGAAAATCGAAGTAGGTTCTCTGTATCATCGTAAGATTTGTTCAGTAGCCACTCAGTTACTATTCTCCTACATTTAGACCCACAGAGGCGATAAATATTGCAGAACTTATTTATGACATTATACAAATGACACCCCAGAACCTTATGGTGCCGTGTTGCCAAAGTGGTCCTGAAAGTTGGGATGGGGCAAACATGATGTGCACGACGCCTTCCGGCATAACCAGAATCATACACCAGAGAGGAGTGCTTTCGGGAAATAGTGTGTAACACAAATAGCTGTCTCACAGTGAGTAGCTGACAGTCATGAAAAATCTTGATAGTAGGATATCTAAAAGGCTTAAAAATCATCACTTTAAGAACAGCTCTCTGTGCGCGTTCCAGAGGTAGAAAAATGGTTTTGGCAGCACCTCCCCAGACCGTTATACAGTATGTCAATATAGGCTGGCATAAGGCATAGTAAACAGTTTTTAGTGTGTTGAAGTCAGCAGAATAGCGAAGTTTTTTAAAAATGAAGATCATTTTTCGAACTCGGGCGACGAGACAAGCAAGTTGGTACTTCCAATTTACAAGATTATCAATGTAGACCCCGAGATATTTTATCGTATTAGATGTCCCTATTGTGGGGCAGCTACAATAGGATGGTGAGGCATTTACAGGACAATCGTTATTGTGAGCTCTAAGGGTAAAGTTAGTTAAGGATGGTTGTGTTGTGACCGTTGAACTGAAAGTTAGGTAGGTTGTTTTGCTCAAATTGAGAGTTAATAGATTATTTTTTAGCCAAAGCATTACCTTTCTAAGTACTTCCTCAGCTCTAGTATACACTTATATTATGCATATTTGTGATTTTTCACCAGAAATAGACAATCGTTTTAGTGTTGTACAATCGATTGTGACAAAAATGCAAGGAATTTAAAGATTACTATCACGAAAAGACTTAAATGCATATGTGCTCATATCGGAATGTTTTTATTTAAGGCAGTATCTTTACATAGTATAAAATAAAGTGATTTTTGTGTTGTACGCTTAGATCTTTTAAACTAAGCAACGGATTTACATGCGGATTACACCAATAGGAAGAATTATTCAAGAGGAAGGTTTATATGTTTAATACATGCATATTATAGTGGAGAAAATCTGAGAATTTCAAAGATTTGTCGTAAAAACATGTTTTTGTGCGCTCACGTTGCAAACCTTGGCTAAACCTTACGAGATATAGCAAAATAATGTGCTACGGAATTGTATATATTAAAAAAGATCTATAAACAATCAGCGATGGTATATGTCTATCTATTAAGAATAACCCACAATAACCATTTTTATCTTTAATATATATAAATTTTCAAAATAAATAATGGGTTTTTTATGAATCTATTTTAAATAATGCATTATTAGACCTTATCCAATTAAATACGTTGTGCATTTAATGTAGACTAAAATTGCTCTTTACAGCATATCATTATCATCATATTTAAAGATGTCCTGTAGTATGGTCCTATCATAATAATAGTATAATTAGTTACTCCACACTGACACCACATTAGTACTATTAGTAGTTTCTACATTGCACCCATGCGAAGCCGGGGCAGATCGCTGGTTTAAATAATATAGCAAACAAAAATCGGCGGCTTCCAGCATCACAAACTTACATAAACTAATATTGTATGATAAATTACAGGAAACTTTTCCAAGTTAAAGAGAATAAAAAATGAATTTCGAACATCTATGGTACAAGAGCGACTCAATGGTTTCAATTTAATTGCTTGTTTTATTAGAATACAATGGCATATATATATACATATAATACAATGGTGTATAATATGTTAATCATATTTTAAAGGAGGACTTTTTATTTTGAGAAGTTTGGTTCAATCAGATTAAAAAGCTTTTTAATCATTCTACTCAGTTTTAAAGTAGACCATGTGCACGAAGATGTTTGCACGTAAGAATATGGCCAGTCATCTACTATGAAGTTAAATCGGTATCTTTTTATTAAACATCAATACGATAGAAGCAGTTTATTTTTATATAAAATAAAAATAAACTGCTTCTATCGTTTTATCAAGGCGTTACGTCATGCCTAGCTCTTTATAACTAAAAATGGATAATGGAGGACAATTCATGTTGTACTTTTAAATAATACATTTGATGATTCAGGTGCATTTTTTTTTGACATAGAAATCTACACTAAATGCATCTGTAATTAGTTTCAGGAATACAATAGACCACTATCTCTCTTCTAATAAGGTCATTATTAATAACAGTGGAATACCTGTTGTGTGTATGTTGGTACAGTGTGTGATGCGGTGGTGGCGGTAATGATCCTGGCGCCAGCTATCGACACACGTCCCACCAACTTGTGTGCGTCGATATTAGTGTCGGCGCTAGTCGTCGAGTGAGTCATGGCGGCCGGCGCACTGTTCAGTAAGTTCAGGATCGTCGCATTGCTACTCGGTGTGCTGACGACAGCAGATTTTGCTGCATTTTCTAAAAATAAACATGTTTTTGTTAATTACTAAGAACATTATGGTATAATTTTACCTTTTTGTTTTATTACAATTATTCAATAAAGGATATTATAGGATAATGAATAACAAAACAGGTATAAGGCAAATGTTACTTTAGTATTAATATACTCGGCCTGTTCTGAAGAAAACCCGAGTCCGAATACCCGTAACTGGCGGGTTTATGTAAATATTTAGTGACAATAGAGAAAAACCCTTTAAGATATGCTAGTATCTAGTATATAGAAGCAAAGAGCAGGGTGTAATAACCGTAATCTAAGATATGAAATATAATATATGATTTGGTATAAAGAAACTTATACGATTACTAACCTTGCTGGAACAGCTGAGCAGAATTCATGAGGCTAGTTACAAGCGCAGTGATGGCAGGGTTCGTTGTCCTCGGTTTTGTGACGGTTGCCTTTTGTTGAGTCGTTGTTGTGTTTGTGTATTGGATATTTTGAACCTGCCAATTAATTTATAATAAATACCAAACTAATTTATTCTACTGTTTACAAAGAAACAACAGACATTAAGACTCGACCTTATTATGAAAACGTCTACAAAAATATGAATTCTTGAGGCAAATTAATGTCGTTTGACGGGCCTGTTGGTCTAGTGGTTAGTGACCCTGACTGCTAAGCCGGAGGTCGTGGGTTCAATTCCCACCTAGGGCAAATATTGTGTAATGAGCACGGTCATTTGTTCTGTGTCTGGGTGTAATTTATTTATATTATGTATGTTTAAAAAAATATACACAAGTATGTTTATTAACAGTCTGGTTACCATAGCTATTATAGGATCAGACGGCCGTGTGTGAGATATATTATTATATTATTATTAATATCACAAAAGGGAAAATAAGTATGTTTTTATTACGTCTCTTTATGGTGTGGGACCCAACGAACAGGCGGTTCACCTGATGGTAAACAAGTACCATATACAGCTGCAATTCAAGGGACAAGTGCGTTTGCGCTCTTAGAGTGCACAGTTGATCAATAAACCATGAAATGCACGGGCCAGTAGGTCTAGTGATGAGTGACCCTGACTGCTAAGCCGGAGGTAGTGAGTTCGATTCCCACCCAGGACAAATATTATGTGATGAGCACGGTCATTTGTTCTGTGTGTGGGTGTAATTTCTCTATACTATGCATGTATTTAGAAGTGTAGTCTATCAGCAGTCTTGTTACCTATCGTAACCAGACTGCTGATAAACATACTTATACACACTACTTATACACAGGGTCTGCTTAATTTCCAATCAGACGGCCGTGTGAAGTTATTATTATCATACACAAAAAAATGCTGTTAAATTTCCTATGTCTGAATAGCATATGAAATGAAACAGTATCAAGCAATGGGTGTTTTGTTTTAGTAAATGTTCAGTTACAAAAGTCATGGGTTGAAATTAAGGAACGAAAAATGTACCTTAATAAAATATTTATGATTTAACGTATGAAGTCGGTGAAACTTTTTAAAATTAATTAGACTTCGTGGAATACTAAATCTTGACAGGCTGAATACAACATACAAAATGGACCTTAAATATTATTTACTAGCTTTTGCGCACTTTTGTCTGTGTTTCGCTGATAATGTAGATTTCTATTGGTGAAAGAATTTGTAAAATCGGTTAAGTGGTTTAGGGTGTAAGTGTAACAAACAAACAAAGAAACTCACTTTTACATTCATAATAAAAGTTTGGATGACCGAGTATTTTATGCTCGGTATTTTTGTGGTAAATTTTCTAAAAATGAAACCTATTTAGATCGATTAATCGCCCCCGAAACCCCCTGAATACTAAATTTCATGAAAATCGTTGGAGCAGGTATATACATATACATACATACATACATACTTGATCAAGATGTCAATTTTGGTTAAAAGCAAGGTCTTAGAGCACAAGTAAAGAGGAAATTCTAAAAAATAAAAAAACTTGAAAATTAAGGTACATTTTGGTACTTTGCCCATATCTTTTTATCGTGTTGACTCAGGACCTTGATTTTTTAGACCTCAGTATGTGGTATAAATTTCAACTTGCTAGGTCTACCCGTTCCTGAGAAAAATCGGTGGTGACACACGGACAGACGGACAAGAAAGTGATCTTATAAGGGTTCCTTTTTTACCTTTTGAGGTACGGAACCCTTATAAGATCACTTTCTTGTTCTTAAAATACAAACAAACTCACTTTCACATTTATAATATAAGTATGGAAGTATGAATACTCGTATTACATCATTTATTTAAATTCATACACCAATCTGAAATGTATAAATTTAAAATTCCTACCTGTGGCGTGCCCGCGGTCGACATAAGAGGGTGCTGTATATGGATAATAGCTGATTGCATCTTTTGAGGGTTGAGTGGTTGCTGAGGATTTGTCAGTTGCTGGGCAAGCAACTGGTTTGTTGACGCCTGCGAACAATAAATACCGATATATTTATCTACAGCTAAAATTTTGCACTCTACATTGCATCGCACAGGATAACATTTCCATAACAATACAATTTTTATGCACACAGCAGACTTATTATCTAGATCTGTATTCTGCTCTCAATTTGAGTAGCTGAGATATTTATCCATCCCACCATGTACTAAAAACAACTACATGCGGAATATATGCAAGAGCTACGTTAAAATAACTCGAATGTTCTTCTGCCAATTAATGGATGTGAAATTCCCAATTTCACATTCATTGAAATTTTCATACTTGAAATTTTAAATAATTGCTTCATCGAGTTCCACATGTATAGTATATCTGTTGACCGGTCAAGGTACGTAATCTATACAATACTAGTTCAAGCTATACTGGTCAAATAAAATATTAAACTTTATCAATCATGGTCCAAATTCAACCAACAGGAGTATTATTCAGATATTTTAATAAGTGCGAAATATTGTACATTATCAAAAATAAAAAGCTAACAACATTACACGAGAACCGATTTATATGGAGTCAATTTAAATTTTAAGTTAATACTTCTTTTGATTTACCGATATCACGGAGGAGCAACTAGATAAACTTGAGCGCCTTGAAAACTTTTGTATAAGATTTATATTTGTATTGCGCAAATATGATCATGTATCTGAATATCGCAATCAGCTTAAGTGGCTCCCAATTCGCCTTCGACGGAATGCTCATATTCTTTCCTCACTTTATAGTATTATATTTCATCCGTTTACTCCAACTTATTTAAAGGAACGATTTGTTTTCCTTGGTGACACACATTCGAGGTCCCTGAGGTCATCTGAATCTCTGGAACTGGCAGTACCATGTCACTGTACCACGTTTTACGATAAGTCGTTTACTGTACAGGCTGTCCGACTATGGAATGCTTTGCCAATGCCTATAAAACGTGCAAAAACTTTACCTACCTTTAAAAAAATGGTCCAAGAACATTACCTGTCATTTTAATTTATTATTTACATAACATATCCTATCTGCTGTATTCCTCTGCAAATGAATGGTAGAGTTTATGTATTTGTTTATGTATTATATATTCCTTATGTATTTACTTGTATTTATATAAGTAGGTATTGCTGGGACTGACTGCTGTATACAATTGACACTACTTTGTTTTGTAATCGTCAAAGGAATGCTGTTGTGCTTTATAAATATTATTCTTTTTGTTTTTAGTTTCCTTTACACTTTTTCTCACCAAATCTGCCCATGAAATTACCTATTTACAGTCTATTTGTCCATCCAAAGGTTGCCTGTAAGATATTGCTTTTTAGCGATAAGGCCGCCATTTGTACATGGTCATTAACTTGGAATACTATTGTATGTATAATATCCTGAATTGGTGTACAATAAAGATTACTCTATTCTATTCTACCTGAGGCGAATGACGTGGTGTCGAAGGCGAAGGTTGCTGCTTCAGTGCCGTATCGGCCGCAGCCGTCACGTTGCCCACAACATTGCCGACATTGCCCACAACTGCGCTCACGTTGCCGACGACTGTACCCACGTTGCCCACTACACTACTCGTGGTACCGGCAACACTGCCCACTGCGGTCACGTTACCAACTTGCTGTAATTGCGCCTGCTACAAAGATATCACAAAATTTTGCTGTCATTTTATTGACAAAATACGATTTTAACTTGGAAAAACTTTATAAAACGCATCTCAACTTATAAGTGCAAGTATGATAAAACACACCTTAACTCAATATCACTCTGATAATTAAGAAAATTTACTTTTATCTTGAAAAAAGATACTGTTTTCAATTTAAAAATATATAGTGAAATTTTTTTACGCATTTTTTAACAACATTTCGAGTTACAATTTCCAACTATTGAAGTAATTACTGCTTTAATTTTGTACAAAAGGAAGCTAAATTTTGCACCAGTACAAATAAAATACTAATTGAACTTACCAGTATTGGTAGTTGACGAGCATTTGTATGAGTATTTGTAGTTGCTTGTATTGCTGAGGTTCTGTAAAACCAATAGTAGAATACTTAGAAGATTAGCTACTAGTAGCAGTTCTATGTAAGAAATTAACTTTACATACTATCACCCCCTCATTTAACTAATGCCCTAAGTCCATTCGAATAACAAAAATTCGTTCTGAATTCAGTTCCGATCTACTCTCGATCTCACAAATGTAGTAAAAGGTAGTAAAATATGACTAAGGCTAGAAGAACACCGATTCAACTTTTGATCACAATACAGTATAATCACATTGCAGTCACCGTTGAATATTTAAAAATTTACTGCAAGAATACTTTTCGAATTCTTTTTATAGCCAGGTTATGATAGTTCTAACTACGATACGTTTTAGATAATTTACATTGATTTTTTAAATATATTATAATCGAAATGCTATGTATTAAATATTATTTACATCACGGATTTAACATTTCTAAATCCAATAACCCAGTTTATCTTTGAGATTTTAGACCGAGACTGAAAGTCTTAAAAATAGTATCTGTCCGATCAGTGCCACCGTGAACCATATTACAAAGTCTGTTGTAAAGAAAAAGATAACTTACACTACAGGCGCTGAAGTTGCATGAGTTTGAACGGTCGCGGCGCTGCTTGTAGAGGATCGCTGTTGTAATAAAATTTGTTGGCCCTACACAAACATCGAAAAAATAACCATTAATATCATTATTCAAACTCAACTCAAACTCAAACTTTCTTTATTTCATAAAATTTCCAAAATTGTTTGAAATCGTCTTCCATGTAGACTCTAAAGTCATGGATCAACACACACAAAAGCAACAATCTCTGTTTTGTCAAATAGTAACCAAATAAATTTAACAAAAATCAAACCCATACAAAATCTATGATATGCCGTGCCGATCTACAACCGCCCGTTTCCAAGGGGTTGAGCCTTATGAGAAGAAAGGGCAAATAAACTCATGGCCACTTTTTTGCAATTCACAGGTAGATACAATAGCACTATTAAATATACCACAACATTGTTTTAATGTGTGCTATTATGTCCGTTATTAAGGACTAAAAGGTGAAAAGACAATGAAGAGAAAACAAGATTAAGAAGAAAAAAACGAATACAAGAGAAAATGAAGTGAAACATAAAAAATAGAAAAAATAATAAAAAACACACTAGCCACACCACATTTTTACTTAAGAAAGAAATAGCCTGTGCTAATTAATCCCAAGCATTCTTGTCCTCCATGTAATCCACAATCGAGTAGTAGGCCCTCTGGCACAAGCCACGTTTTATTGAGGATTTAAATTTGTTAACACTTAACTCTTGAATATTATTTGGGATTTTATTATAAAATCGGACACATTGACCTCGAAAAGACTTGTTTATCTTTTGGAGCCTAGAGGCGGGTACTACAAGTTTATTTTTATTGCTGGTATTTATGGCATGTACATCACTTTTTTTCAAAAAGCTATCTTTATTTTTATTAACATTTATTGTCATTTTCATAAATATATTGACTTGCCACTGCCATTTATTTCTTTAAATTTCTGACTCAATGAACAACGATTGCCTAAATTATAAAGTGCTCGAATCGCTCTCTTTTGCAGCACAAAAATAGTTTGAATGTCGGCAGCATTCCCCCACAGCAGAATACCGTACGACATTATGCTATGAAAGTAACTAAAGTAGCAAGTCGTGCTGTATCAACATCAGTCAACTCTCGGATTTTCCTTACTGCGTATGCTGCTGAGCTGAGTCTACTCGACAATTTATCAATATGTGGGCCCCACTGTAGCTTAGAATCTAGTGTTATACCTAAAAATCTCGTAGTGTCCACAAGGTATTAAACATTGGTCTATTAAACAATATACACGATTCAAGTCACAAGGAATAGCTTCACTACCAACTGCTATACCTATTGAAATAGAAAGAAAAAATAGAATTTTAGGGCAAATGAACAGCCAATATCTAAACATAAGGAATGTCGGTCACCTACCCTGTAGAGTAGAACAGAAGAACCGATAAGAAGAGTTACCACATACAGGAGGCCTAGTGCGAGTTTACAAACAACTCGCTCTCGAAGGCGACCGCGTTCGGCCCGCCGTCGAGAGCAAGTTGATGTATTATGTTGACTGCTGATCGACTGCTATTACGCCGTTACGACGAGATTTATTGTTATAGGCTAAGTGAAAAAACTCTTACCATTTCCCTCATACCACCAGTAAAAGAAACCCGCGGTAGCTGACCAGGAACGATATGTCTTATCCTTACAGACTTGCGACCTTCTTCAGTAAATATCTCCGTAAATTGCTGTATGTATTTATTTGCTTGCAGTCTTGACCCTAAACAGAAACATTGCTTTGTTAACTTGGCATAGATAATAATGAGTAAACAATAATTCTTTAGCATTGACATTTTTACATAATTAAGATACCACATTTCTAGCATTTTTTATGTATCGCAAAATTGAGGTCACACGATGTGAAACTGTGTTTTTAATTAAAGGTAACTTTCAAATCCTATTTTTTTAACGCTATGCAAATATATTAAAATTATTAATAATGAAATGATATATGAACATTTATACCTATATTATGAATATTTACATCTATCATGAATTTATATTTATTTAGAAGTGCAGATAGCATTTTCTTTTTAAATTTGAGTTACAAATTGTTAAATTTAACGAAATAGCAAATTGCTAATGTTTCGTGCACTCAGAAATGTTCTCCAAAATCGGCCTTTGTCTTGCAGACTAAGATATTTTTCAATTTCAGACGACCAAGACTGAGCTTTGGGTTATCAGTGATTGATTGAAATACCAATATACGAAAACACGATTATATAAATCATCCGTGTATTAATAACGACACCACTGAAACACACCACTGCGCTGTTGTTTACATTATTTTTTTGGTAACGGTATTGATTATTATTGGTAGTAAGCAGTGGTTAGCAACTAGAATACATAAAATATGTATACAGATGTGATAAATATGTGTATTGTGATGAACTTTAGCTTGCCTTTATGTATGTTTGTCAAATTCATTATTAAAAATGACGAGGTAATGAATGATTTTGCAGTAAGACTACCATGACAAAAGCAGTTTTAGATGTAACATTTAAAAGCACTGTCTGACCCAACTGTCAATATAATCATTGCAAATGTGTTAGCAGGATTTCATAAGATTTCTTCTTTTTTGACCATCATACATAACCACAAAATATTAACATACCTAAAGTAAAGCGACACGCTGCACCATTCCTCTCCCCTTCAACATGATCTCTATCGACATAAAGTTCTCCGAGGAACTCTTGATCGGACGGCCTTTGTAATATCGATAATTTTATGTGAAAAAAACCCCGCGCCTGCATGGGGTGAACTCTTTTCAGTCTCTAGGATGTATTCTTCCACTAGTTGTGGTTGGCAGTCAGGGGTTGGTCGAGGCCTCTCGTATGCCCGTGCTAGCCGCAATGAACCGCTAACTTCCTGCGGTACTGCTAGAGGTAAGGCTTCCATTTTGGGAGACTCGATTGACTTGAACACCTGTAGAGTAAGACAATAAACCTCCAATAAACAGTCTTAAGCAAGTTAAACAAACTTAAACATCTTACTTACATATTATTTTTATTTAAGCTTACATTAGAAGAAGAAGATACCATTATGTATATTTATGTAATACCTCAATTTTTTACTCTATAAAAACACAATACATACACATGTGTAATGAAAATCAAAGTAAATCAACTTTATTATTGTTTTAAAGTATTTACAGACATTCATTTTGTACCGTATTTGTAAGTAATATAATAAATATAAACTGAAAAAAACCGGTTAGGTACGAGTCGAACTCGTGCGCCGAGGGTTCCGTACCCACCCAGATTTTACGTAGATTTTCGCGAAAATTTGTAAGTAAATTCAACTTGTGTTGTAAAGTCTACCCGTTCCTGAGAAAACACACGACACACGGACACACGGACAAGAAAGAGATCTGATAAGGGTTCTTTTTTTACCTTTTGAGGTACGGAACCCTAACAAGATCATTCTAATACAAACTAACACTGAAAATATAACAAAACTTTAGTAATTATATTCTGATGGTATCAGAAAGAAATTGTTATAAAAACAGGTAGAACCACATCTACGGGGTGAATTATATCTCTTACAGTCGCTACTGACCGCCCTTTGTCGTATCAAAGCAGAATATTTATAGAACAACATTTATTATTTTTATTTTCTTACACAACACACATTGCAGGGACCTGAGGTCATCGGAGAATTTAAAACTACAAATGCCACAACATTCCACCCAGTTTGCAGACAAATCTTTTACTGTGCAAACAGTAAGACTTTGGAACAACTTGTCTGTGTCAATCCGACAAGCTACGAGGGTGCGTTTTTAAGTTCGCGGAATGAGAGGGTTGGAGGGGGGTGATTAGGCTCATTAGAATCGTCACGTGTTTAGTGACTCATAATTAGTATAAATACCAGGTTTCATTGTTATTAGACAATTAGTCTTTGAGTTATCGTCAACCAAGCAACATAATCGGGAGTGAAAAGTGAAACATGGAAAAAATCGAATATCGTGCCGTTATAAAGTTCCTTACCAAGCAAGGAAAATCAGTTGCGAACATAATGAATGAGATGTCATTGGTTTACGGCGACTCTTGTCCAGGAAAAACCATGGTGTACAAATGGCACAGTTTATTTAAACAAGGAAGGGAATCCCTTGAAGACGACCCGAGGCCGGGCAGGAGCATCGAGGTGATCACGCCAGAACTTATCCAAAAAGTCGAAAAAATTGTACTCGACGATGCTCGACTAAAGAAAAAACAACTCGCAGAAACGGCTGGAGTATCTGATACAACCATTTTTAGAGTTCTGCACGATCATTTTGGCATGACAAAGGTCAGTGCAAGATGGATGCCGAGAATGCGGCCACGCCGACGCAAAAACAACAGCATGTTCACTTGCATTTTTAGACCTTTGTAATGAAGACAAGGATGCTGTATTGAGTAGAATTGTTACTGGAGACGAAACTTGGGTTCATCATTATAAACCTGAGTTGAAACACGACTCCATGCAGTGGCATAAAAAGGGCACAGCACCTCCCAAGAAGTTTAAGGTGTCACAGTCAGCTGTTAAACTCATGGCAACGGTCTTTTGGGACTCAGAAGGAATATTATTGAACGATTGTAAAGATAAAGGTGTTTCTATAACCGGAGAATACTACGCTTCAATATTAGAGCGACTCAAAGAAGCCATTAAAGAGAAAAGACGGGGAAAATTGACAAAAGGTGTGTTGCTTTTGCACGACAACGCGCCCGTCCACAAGAGCCGCGTTGCGTTGGCTGCCCTGCATAAGGTGGGCTTCGATATTTTGAATCACCCACCCTACAGCCCAGACCTGGCCCCCAGCGATTATTACCTTTTTCCAAAAATGAAAAAAGAGTTGCGGGGTAAAAAATTTACCAACGATGATGAAGTCAAGGAGGCAGTTTCGGCGTATTTTGAAGACAAAGAGAAAACATTTTTTTATGAGGGTATAAACAAATTAATTGAAAGATCTGAAAAATGTATCCGTCTTGCAGGTGAATATATTGAAAAGAAAACCACCCCTTATCCCCCATTCCGCGAACATAAAAACGCTCCCTCGTAAAACCTTGCCTGTTTTCAAAAAGCTAGTAAAGGATTTTTATTTGACATTATAAATACCATGGTTTCATAATATATAGTATATATTTTAGATTGTATGTATTTATATATTTATATATATATATATATATATATATGTGTGTATTTATATATATGTAATGTGAATATTTGTGTATGAATGCTTTTGTTGATATTTTAAATATTCACGTGATAATGCGTTATGTGTATGTAAACTACCTAATTTTTTAAATATCTAATATCCGTATTAAGGTTGTCTGTAAAAGATCGCCGTGAGCGATAAGACCGCCGATTGTTACGTCTACACATTTGTAACTAATCCTTACTTATGTGTTAACTGTATACAATAACGATAGAAATAAATAAAATAAATTTAAAATTAAAATACCATAGATACTGTTTACTGTACTGCTCAGTGCTAGAGCACCACATGTTTACGAAGCTTACCTCTGGTGGTTTTTTAGGATACTTGGAAGTTAGTCGCGTTTGTGGAAGAGATTGTCGACTATTTTTTGCCCTCTGGCGGTGAATTAAGTCTAAAAGTTCTAAGCCATGGTGATGTGTAAATTGATCTAATTTTCTTTTCCTGTTTACTGCCACCTAAAATCACATAAATTTCCTTTTAATGAAGGAGTGTTTACTCAACATTTTTTTGATAAATATTGAAATATCTTAACACAAAATTTAACAAAACCAGCAAACTTTAAACATAAACCCCACAAAACTTATTGGCAAATACAGTTCCAGTAAGTTTTGTTAAACCGCTTACACGTTTTAACACATTGTTGAACTCATTTGTATCACATCACATTACATCAACAGCCTTTACTAGTCCACTGCTGGACATAGGCATCTCCTTAGAAAGGAGGTTTTTGGGATACTATACCACGCGGGCCAGATGGGTTAGTATAGGGTTTGTGTCAAGTTTTCCTTCTCTCTGCAGTGCTATTGTCCTGAGTAGTTCGCTCCCTTAGTCGCCTCTTACGGTACCCATGGGATAAATAGGGGTGGTGACACTCTATTCTTAATTAACATATAAAAAAAACAACCGAAATATAGTACAGACAACAGTTCTGCACTGAATTTCGGTTATACATATATAGTTTATACTTTGGTTCCACTTATGTAAAAGAACTTCTTTATATTTAGGATGATTTGTCAGGATGACTCTGGCTACTGAGAATTGAGCTTTCAACCGATTTTAATGTAAGTTTTTTGTAATTGAAGGCCCGGCTCATTCAGTCCAGTCCTCAAAAAGTTCAGTCTTCAAAGACTTTTCTGACCTACTTGTATTGAATGCAACTTTATCACTAACCCATGTTTTTTCTTATAAATACAAAACATCACATAACAACATATTTATTAAATTCAGTTTGACTATTTACTTAATGATTAATCTGACAATTACCTGGGAAAATCTTTTTGCTTGCCTCCTTATTCTGGGTGTATTAAAAAGTCTAGGTGCTGCATGCAGTCTCGCCGCAAGTAGGCCAACAGCTGGTCGTGGGTCTAAGCAAAGAGGGGGTGCGGCAGCGTGCACCAAAGCTGCTTCAACTGCCTCTAACGCACCCCGCTCCTCTCCAGCCCAACCGCATCGACCACCGATGCACATTGCATCCGTTATTATGCTCTGTGAGCAAACACATTGTCCTTTTAGAGGTTACGAGATGTGACTTTTTGATTTAAGGACTTGTCGTACGAAATTCAATTAGATACTATTCAAGGTATAACTACGAGCTGGCGCGGTAAAATGTCAAAAAGTGGGTCACAAGTCCTAGTCGCATGTGTTACCCGTTATCTATCACGCGAACGACCCAGCACCACGGTTAATCCATGGATGGCTAAGAAATAGGCCTTACACACAAGAAGAAGACTACAAGTAGACATTACTGTAGTAGGGGAATACTATCAGCATGGTACTGTATTTTTGTGATAAAGTACCAGATCTCCATGAGTGATAGTGTCGGTGCACACCATAGCTTGAACAGTTTATTCTCAGCAATTAAATGAAAGTAAACATCAGATTAAGGATAGAAATAGTAATTATTTTTTAGTAATATGATGACAATTCAGTCAGAGAGAAAGAAGAAGATGTAAAACATTGTACAGAATGTTCGATTACAATAATTACCATTTACAATGGCATCCTCTAAACTTGTTTGTTTTATAAAGCAATGGTTGAGTATAAAAATGTGTATCCTATTTAAACATAAAAACTGTAATTACAATATTTTATGTTAACTTTTTACTGCTGATGATTGTGCATAATGAAAAGTTAAAATAAACACATCAGCTTTATAGGCACTCAAACATACATAGATATTGGAATTTATAATACCATTACAAAACATTTTTTTTATTTCAAAAATTAGTTGAGATTGTATACTAAAGTGAGATCATATCAGCACCGAAATAAATAGATAGATTTATTGTTCAATTTAATTTGTGAGTGGAAAACATACAATATCAATTCTCCAAACTCAATTTAGTTCCAAAACAGTTTTGATAATTTTACTTACCTGATTTGTTGGTCTTAAGAGTACATGATGAGTATCACAGAGAAAACTGGGATATGCTTGTCTGTAATCTCTTATTTGTGCTATAATACATCCTGAATAAAAAAGACATGAGTGTTCAGACTCTAACAGATCTAGCAGTATAACTGGCAATTCCTCATTGTCAATGTAACTTAGTAATTCCTCTTCTTCATATGGCCATCTTGGGGTCTCTATAAGGGTCTCTTCTTGGTTTGATGTCTACAAAAAAGATCATTAGGAGCATTTTTATTATTTGACAATATTTCTGCTTGGGAAGCGTTTTTAATTTGTATATAATTTTTATTAAATAAAATGAACTTCATTCTGATTACTGCCTTTTACACACAAAACATGAGTTAACTACTATACTAGGTACTTAAAACAGAAACAATAAAAAATAATCATTGTTAACTTTAAGCCTACTTACTACTTACTTGTTTAAAGCTGTTATCCTAGTAAACTGTAGTAAAAAATAAAATTATGGCAAAAAAGTAATTCTAGTGTTGGCATTATTAAAATAATAATTATACCTATATCTGTTTTGCAACTAACATGCATTCAACATTACTAGTAACAGTACTAGTGCCTATCTACTATAGAGCTGGGACTCTACTTAATATTACTGCATGATGCTTGCAATGTGGGTTTTGCACGGGTAACCTGTAGGTAGACACTGCGGATGACCAGAATTTACTCTAGAAGTAGTCTCACAATTTACATATCTAATTTATTTGCTTAATATATTAATTATACAAATAATAACTGGTTTACCTATAATAATAATTATGTCTTAATAGTAACATCTTATACTTAAGTGAACAGACTGTAAATTGCTTATGGGTTTCAAAATTCATCTTTTATTGTGTACTATTTATATTCTTTATCTAATTGATGAACCGTTAAGGTGTGTTCTTTTACAAGGAAGCTTTACTTTTACAACTTACATGTCCATCTGGTGGGTGAAGGTACTGAGAGTTACCATTAACTGTTAATGATAATGAATATCCCTTATTGCCTGGATATAGATTAATTATTAATGTATTAAGATTGTATATTGCTAATAACTTTTCTAACAGATATGAAGTGGTCTTCAAGCCTTGCTGCAAATGAAAAAAAATGTGATTATACAAAGGAATATATTTTTAAAATTTGATCACTTCTAAATAAAAGAAAAAAAATGCATTTCTTATCTCGTAAACAGAAATTTTATATAATATCCAAATTTATTTGTTGTGTAGACAGTTTCCTGTTAATATAGTTGGCACTTGCCCAATACGACAAACATGTTTCTACTTTTAGACCCATACATTTAAATAAGAAGATTTGATAGTAAGTTTTTGATTTAATTGTTTTCAATTTTAGTGTAATTTATATTTTTGAGCCAGGGTATAATTCTTAGCAATAATATTAATTTCATAAATCTAAGGATAAAAATTATCCTTAGGTTGCTATTACTAAACATGTAGGGATTAGCTGCATTAAAATATTACCGTAACATTAAAAATCATTAACTAATAAATAATATAGGTTACTAAATGATAATCATAGAAATATGTTAAGAATCTATTAATTACCCTAACTTTCTACTTACATAGTTCACCTGCAAAGACTCATCTCTACTTAACTCATTATAAAGTTCATGAAGTTTCTTAAATAAATCGAACTTCTCAGTTGCCTTGGAAGCAGAGCTGGATGAATTACGTTGAAATTTCATTTTAGACTCATCAACAGTTTCAGCAAGGTGAATCTTATCATGGGTCCAAGTCATTTTGTGGTCTGAAACACCACTACTAAATTGTGATAAGTTAGAGTTCACATGTTTCGCTCGGTTAAGAATTACCTGAAATATAAATAAATGACAATAAACAAAGTGCAAGACAAGAACAAATTTATTAGTAAAGCTCGGACAATAAATTAAAGAAAGCAATGAAATACCTCAGCTTCCAATGCCGCGTGAATTAAACCATCCATAATGTCATTTATTAAAACAAATATGCAAGTGGTAGTTATTTTATTAAATTTATTATATCATATTAACAGTTTAAGCCTGAGTATTAAGTCATGATTTTTAGAAAAACTAATATGCTTTATTTATGTTTCACACTGCATGACAGTAAAATAACATGTCCAATGTCCATCAACAATTTTTGACAGTATCTGTTATAGATAATGTAGAGACATCCACATCATTTTTAGTAAAACGCAACGATAACTTTATTCATAAATAAATTAATTTTGTCCTAAAAATAATTAGTTGTAAAAAGTTAATATTTTTTAAATAATAACTTTACAGTAGCCTAATTTAAACTATTACTTGTTTTAAATAACAAACTCGTTTTGTTAGACCCTAAAACTCAAAAGACCCTACCTTATATTAACCCACGCGGAAAACGCGTTGATAGTACACGCGGCTTAAAGTCCAAAAAAATAGTTAAAAACAGGTATTCAACCGAATAGCTTCAAACTATGAACTAATATTAAAAAAAAACAGTCAGGTACGAGTCGAACACGTGCGCCGAGGGTTCCGTACCTACAAAGATTTTACGTACCAGACGTTTCTTTCTGCCAAATTTCGTGATTCTAGGTCAACGGGAACTAGGATATAGGTTTTCGATCAAAAACCTATAGAGTACTTCCGGTTGACCTATAATTGTCAATTTTGGTTAAAAGCAAGGTCTTACAGCATAAATAAAGAGAAAATTCTGAAAAATAAAACAGTTGAAAATTAAGGTAAACTTTGGTACTTTCAAGTTTTCGTGAAAATCGACATTTGCCCATATCTTGTTATCGTGTGGACCCAGGACCTTGATTTTTATACACCTAATAGGGACCATAGTCCTCAGTATCTGGTATAAATTTCAACTTGCTAGGTCTACCCGTTCCTGAGAAAATCGTTGGTGACACACGGACAGACGGACAAGAAAGTGATCTTATAAGGGTTCCTTTGTTACCTTTTGAGGTACTGAACCCTAAAGAAAAAAATAATCGTAGATAATGAATTATGGGGAATTATTAATTAGTTTTCAAAATACTCATGTCAGTCGCAGAACTTTAAAACACATGAACGAGAGAGCTTTTACAATGGTATATACAGGGTTATTGGTAATTAGACCGGATTCGTTTAAGACGTAATAGGGGAGGTCCTTTGCAACCATTTTGACCGCATATTGTATTGTATAAAATGGTTAAATTATTATTTTAATTATTATATGGTTCGATTGGTCCCGAATTGTATGGTATATGGAGGACAGCGCCATCTAGTATCACTTATTATACATTTATTGAGATTGTGATTAATAATTTTGATACTTACAGCGATGGCGCTGCAAGTAACGCGTAACTGATACTGGAATATTCTTGTATGTTTGGAACGGACTATCGAATACTAGAAATCATTGGCACCATGTATTGGGCACCATGAAACTCTCAAGGACGCCCTAGCCCATGCTTTGGAGGTAGAAGCCGTGTGACAAGACCATCGGTCTCATCGCGTCCGGGAGGTTGTGGCTTCACCTGTGCGAGACCGTTTTAAGGGGTATAGCTCTAGATCTTACGCATGTGGCGAAAAGGTCATCTTGGGTCTAGCTGCCCTAAGCGAAACATAGGAAGTGAAGACGAGCAGCTTCAGGAGATTAGGGCGGCTTATAGCACTGCCTAGTAGCAGCAGGGAAACGAGTAAACGACAGGACTGCGTGGTGAGTGCTGGCTGGTGTGATTTCGATCTCGCAAATCCATGATGGGAACAGCCTGGTCATCAGAGTCGAAATCAACGGAACGTCATGTATGTGTTGTCAGTTCCCAACTTGCAAATCGGTTTCAGAGGGCCAACACATGTAACCGTGAGCAAATAGACCTTGTAACAGCCACTGGTCTGCGCATACTCTTACATACGTGAAGTTGAAGTTGGGCAACCAAATTATCTGCATAACGTTATCGTGGCTGATATGGTTGACGACTGCATCCTTGGCCTAGACTTCATGAGGAAGAATGGTTGTCTGGAATATTATTGTGAGGATCAATATAAAGTTAATATTAAAAACAAGTACAACTCACGTAGGGTTAGGTAGAACCAACTAGTTCAACCAAAGATAACAAATTATTATGGTAAAAGAACATCTAAGTATTTAGTACCTAGTGTTTAAAAAAATAGATTTATTAAGAGTGTAAAAGACCTGACCTCGAGGTTTTCAAGTGAAACACAAACTGCACTGTTCCACTGAATTGATTACTATGAAATTGGCACACTATACAGAAAAAATGTGTTCAAAAAAAATATTTTAGTCGTCTTTACATGTCTCGGCTCGTAACTAAACTATACCGTGATTTAGCCCATAGGCACAACGCAATCTATCGAGCCAAGGTGTGCATATTTCACACATTATTAAATTTGTACAAAGAGAAAAATTAAAATTTAGTAAAAGATCACTTAAGACAAAATAAAAAACATTATACAGGATTGCTAATAGAACTCAATAAGAGTTCATAGTAGTAGTTAACGTAATAACAAAATATCATAACTTAGTATGCATATTCCTATATTATGTACTATTGTGCCTTATAAGTGTATATAGGGTGGATCATTGTTATGTAAGAAAGCGCTTCTCACCTTCAAACGTAAAAGTTTGGCGAGTTTAGAACTAAGTACCTTCTACAATTTAATTATAAGAATAATAAAAAAAAAGATTGATATTAAGCAAGGTTTAATGAGACGTAGTCAAAAATAACTGTTCATAGAGGGGGCATTATCAGGAAAAGTGTACAGCTTAAAGAAAGTTGTTCTTTCTCCCAGATCAGAAACAATCGTGCCAATTAGTCTTCCTCATAACTCTGGACAATTGCATCGGTGTGTACTTATTGAAAGGTTAGATAATGGCCTTCCATGGAAAATCGCGCGAACACACTGTCAACACTTTTGGAGACTGTAGTTATGTTTTGTCTACGGACGAAATAGACAAGGTTTTGAGGATGTTAGCCAAGTACGCACCACCACACAGTAACACCGGGAATGTGTTGCCTATTCGTCAGCGACCAAGAAGGTTACCGGTAACACAAGTAAAGGAGGTGGAAACCATGATTGATGGAATAGTGAGGGACGGCGTTATAGAGCCTTCATCCAGCCCATGGTGTTCACCTGTAGTGCTTGTAAAGAAAAAGGTTGGCAGTATGCGTTTTCGTGTTGACTACCGCCGTTTGAACGACATAACGAAGGAGAGCTACCCATTACCAAGAATAGATGACACACTGGACATGCTAACAGGGATAAAGTGGTTTAGCACCTTAGATTTGAAAGTGGATACTGGCAGGTAGAAATTGATCTCAAGGATAAGGAGAAGTCTGCGTTTTCTACAGGGAAGGCACTGTGGCAGTTCAAAGATATGCTCTTTGGATTATGTAACGCGCCAACAACTTTTGAAACACACATTGCCGCAAAGTAGCGCCTGATTCAATTAATTACCAAACATACGAGTATTTGATCAAGTTTTTTTCCATAACATTCGCTTCATTACTCAAATCATCGTAGGCAGGTACAGAACCCTAGCGCATTCTTTCGAAGACGCTCTTGCACATGGGTCGCGCGGCGGGCAAAATTCTCTGTATGCGTAAGGTTTTTTTAGTCTACTTAGCCTTTGTCGCGGAATAGCAACGTAATTTACTAGCTTAAATATGTTTGGGTTTAAAACGATAGATACATTTTTTTTTCCTTCTCTTAATTCTCGGTAATTAAATATTGTCGTTGAAAATATGCTAAATTACGTGGTTTTGCCATTTCGATGAGTCAACGAGGTAAACATGCCGTGCAAGCGCTCAGGCGGTCGTGTGGCGTGTAGTTGTAGCAGGGAATCCCGGAGTTTTATAAATTCACGTGCGTCTGAGAAGCTACGAACTTGCGAACATTGTGCAACAAATGTATTCCATGTGTGAGAATTTCCATCTTTATCTGTATCTACAATACAAACTGAATGTCATAGTTGATTGTGCAATTAAGAAAAAGTGTTTTTATCATACTGATACCGAAAGTTTGAATTTCGTCCCTATTTTGAGGGATGAAAGTGCGAAATTGCCTCCCAGCTAAAAAAATATTAAAAAAAAATCAATCGCCATCTTTCCTCACGGATTGAAAATTATAAACAATAGGCTTCACGCAATCACGATGGGACAAAACCGTCTATCAAAGCTTTCTCTCCTGAGCATTGAAAGTAATTAACTTCGGGAACTGGATTTCAGCGAAATCATCAACGATTTTTCGGCGAAAAAAGCTCGGCAGTTAAATAATAAAAGAATCCATTATACTTGGTTTCACAATTAATTATTTATGGGAAAACTCAACTCAAAAAATTGACCATTTTATTTAAAAAATAATTTGGGGCCAGAGGGCCTCCACTCCTTTGTTGCCCCGAGGCCTCCAGACCTCCAATTCCGGCATTGCCAGTGCTGTAAACACACTACGTACATTAGTAATCATTCTAAAGTTATTTCTTATATATTATAGGCAGCAGTGAAGGTGTTATAGTCTACTACTCTACATAGCCACGCTGGCCAGACAAGTTGGTACCTATAGGGTTTGATTCAAGTTTTCCATCTCTTTACAATGCTGATGTCCTGTATAGTTTGTTCCTTTAGTCGGCTCTTACGATACCCATGTGATGAATATGGATGTTGATATTTAACAACAATACTTTCACTTATTGCATACAAAACGGCAATTTCATAGGTAAAGACCTATTATGTCTTAATAGGTGTAGGTAATTTAAATACATCTCATCAACATCATCATCCATAGCTTTTAATAATCCACTACTGGACATAGGCCTTTCTTTGCAGTGCTGTCGTCCTACGTAGTTTGCTCCCTAAGTCGGCTCTTACGACACGCACGGGATGAATAGGGGTGGTAACACTCTGTATTCTAAATCGACGGAGGTCATTCTGCGACCACCGGCACCTGAGTCGTCAGCGGTACCTGGCCCGTTGCCGGGCCTGGCGCCCCGGGAGAGTTCTAAACCTTTCCCGGTCTCGCTCCGCCATATCCTTTGCAAGCATAACTTGCTCGCAGAAGGAGACGGCGGTGTTTCACGAACTCTCGCTCCGTACGACGGCGGCAATCATGTTACCGAGCGAGAGAATTCCTACTCCGATGGCCGCCACGAGGCAACGCCTCTGCTCCACCCACTCCGGGCATTCTGCCAGCGTATGGAGCGCTGTGTCCACGGTTCGGCCATCGCAGTGGTGGCACTCAGGCGTTGGCTCCTTGCGGATCAGACACAGGTGATCTCCGAAGCATCCTTTCCCGGTAATCACCTGCGTCAACCGGTATGAGAGGGTTCCGTGATGCCTCTCGAGCCAATCCTCATTAACGGGTCTTACCGCCGCGATAACGGCGTGCCCAGCGCTCGGTTGCCCAAGTCATTCCTTCCACTGCTCCACGAGGACCTGGCGGAGTTGGGATTTTCGATCCTCGATTTCTCGAGAATCAGGACACCGACTAAACTCCCGCGCCTCCTTGCGCCACTAATACAGACCCGCAAGGGCCCTCGCTTTTAGGTCCTACGGTGGAGTTCCGGCCATGAGACTCGCCGCCTCAAAGGAGATCGTGCGATACCCCCTTATGACCCTGATGGCTAAGCACTCGGTGCGGTCGTCGCAGTGGTGCGACGTTGCTGGCCTTCAGGGTCTCCGCTCATACTGGGGCCCAGTAAGTCATTACCCTGGAATGACTCCATGACAATCTTTGATGTTTGTCCTCAATCTTGTATCGACTAAGATGAATTCTATTTGAGGGCATTTTTCTTCTTGAACATGGTGTTAACAATCGTTAGTTCATATCTGGATGCAAATTCCAGAATATGGTCGCTTTCTTTGTTAAGATTCCCGTAGCCAAAGCCACCATGGACGTCGCCGTACGTCTTGTTGACTACCACATGCCCATTTAGGTCTCCCATGACAAATTTGGTTTCCTGTGGTGGTATACTAGCCATACATTTATCAATTGCCTCACAAATCGAATGTTTTTAATCATCTTTGAGTCCTACTTGTGGTAAATACGTGCAGACTACATTTATTATAGGTTGATTATCTAATGCCAATTTGTTTCCTATTAGCCTATCTGATTGTCTTTCAATTCTATTTTCGACGACTCTTAGATTAGGTCTCTGGATTTGGATCCCTTCAATTTTGTTTCCTGTACACAGAAAATGTTAATGTTTCTTCGTTTCAGGGTTTCTGATAGTTCTTGTGCGCGGCTTGTCAGGCATCCCAGATTCCATGTCGCCATTCTTAGCGTTTGTCGTGCTCATCGCTTAAGGGATACGCCCTAGAATTGTTGCCCTTATCATTCTTGTCTCTGTTCATTGTAAGTTACGAGAATTGTTTATGGTGTAAGTTTAGGGGGCGGTTACCACCTGACGCCAAGGCTGTTACGAAGCTTGAGCGCCTCCTTAGGCTGGCTAGGGGTTCATTTGCTGCCATCCCTACTGAGCCACTGCAGCTTGAATGCAAAGAACAAGGGCAACCTCTACTCCGAAGGTGTCAGAGAAGTGTGCATACTACTCGATTAAGCGTTTAAGACCAACGCGTGAAATGCGGCCTCCCCGCCCGAACCTCGCCTCAGGTACCGCGATGGTCTTAGTACCGTCGGCAAAGTTGCTACCGCTCGAACGTGTTTGATTTGTTTCTGTTAGTTTCCATTAGTTTGTTAAGTTTATTATAATTCGTTAAATTGTTGTCAGTTATTAAAGCTGTTAGTATTTTGTTGTGTGGCAAATGGGCAAAAAAAAACACAATACATAGTGGAAAGCGAGAAATAATATTAAGAGCGATGAATTTCTTTGAAGAAGAAAAGAAAAGGGCCTCAGTACAATTACGCGTATAAAAAGAGAAAGAAAAAAACAAATTATTTTACAGGTAAATATTATACTTATGTTATTTTATGTATGAAAAAGGTACCACAAATTAGAGACAGGTACTAAGCCTAGAACAACGTGCAAAATTTGTTTTTCACAGAAAAGAGTAACATCCATATAAAGTTTAGTACCACGTAACGCTAGTTGGCGCTGTTATGGTTATTTTTAATAATATTTTGTTAATATCGTCGTTAAACTTACAATGTAAGGTGTTTCAGAGATCAAATTCACCTGATTCATCAACGAGTGCTGAACCGACGGCATCAACTTCTACTGCTACATCAGCAAATTCTACAATAAAGGTACCGACACCAGGAAAAACACGTTCCCGGCCACCTCATAATAAGCTCGATGTGGATGATTTTACAATGTGTGCCATTCAAAACATCATTGAAAGTTTTATTCGGTTCGCAAGGACAACCAACCTTAAAAAAAAAGGTATTGGCAGTTGCCAAAGATATATTAAATTTTCCAGGACAAAGAGAAGCCCTTAGAAAAATGATCACTCAAAATTTAGGTTACGCTTTTAAAAAGTGTTCAAAGAAAAGGGAAGTTTTAATTGAGAGACCCGATATAGCTGCATGGCGAGCTCGTTATTTGCGGAGATTGAAGGAAAACGAAGAATTGCTTGCTGACAAAAAGCCAATCATCTACATCGATGAAACGTGGATACATAGTCACTACACTGTACATAAATGTTGGCAAAATTCTTTGCAAAAAGGAGGGAGAAAAAATCATAGTCCAGGTTAGCGTTGGATTATAGTTGGAGAAAACGGATTTATCGAGAAAGCCCAATTAATATAATGTGTAAAAGTAAACAAGGGGACTATTATGATGAAATGGGTGCAGAAACTTTTACGAAATGGGTAAAAGAAAAACTAATACCAAATTTACCTACTAACAGCATTGTCGTAATGGACAACGCTCCACATCACAGCTAACAAATAAACAAACCACCGACAATGGCGTCACAAAAATCAGACATGATAACCTGGCTTAGCAGTAAAAATATAAGCAATGAAATCTATAACTGCAGCAGACTGGAAGAAGGAGGTGGATCACATAATTCGTTTAGCAAATGAGTACTGATTATTCATGTTGGTGAAGATAGTAGTTCTGAAGATTCGCAAATGTCAGGCATAGAAGAGCTTCATTTATCTGTTGACGCAATAAACCCAGATTAATTTTATAAAAGTCTTAATTACACAAAAAATTTCACCCTGTCACTAAAATATAACGGGCACATTCACACTTTTTTATGCAACACTATGGTCTGATGATGATGATTCACAATGCGCCATCTAATCCCAAACTAAGCTAACCTTGTACTCGTACTATGGTTACTAGACAACTGGTAAACATACTAATATCCTTTTGATTTGTAAATATATACTTAAATTATAATATGTAGAAGCAACCGGAATAATTAAATATCTGTAGATAAAATAAATAGCTAATCAAATTAAATAAAACACAGATCAATCACTTGGATTCTTCTGCTATCCGTACCCGAAGTCAATGATGTCACGTTTGATTGTTGTCAAGTTCGCTTGGTTGAGTAGTACACAGTTTGTGTTCAGAGTGTCCATCTCTGGTCTTGTGGTCCACTAGGGAATCAGGCTACCCAAGGACAGGCAGTCTCTGACCTGACTTACAATAGTAATATGGAGATAAACATTCAGCAATGATATGTTTGATGTTGGAGACCATTAGAATGTAATCACATCATCATGCTGGTAAACATAAAAAGGTAACAGTAAATTGTTTGACTATGTAACTTAACAGTATTAAATAAATTCACAATAGTGACAATAGTAATTTTGAAATTGATGAACAACTACTGAGCTTAGTCTGTAAAGGTCAGTCATACACAAGTAAAACTCCATTCATTTAATAAACAATCAATGTTTAAGTTTAATAGATTATAATTGCCTCATTAGTTATCATTAGATGCCATATGTCGTATTAAGTTTGAAACAAATTTATCCATTTTTCTGACATCTTGTTGTACTTCAGTTTTGTATTGTAGACACTGTAAGTAAACACACAAGTCTCGATTATTCGTTAGTCTAACTTAAATAAGGTCTAATTAGATTAATACACAAAATAGATGTATGTGTGGGTGGGTGAAAAAAAGGAAATTTAAAAAATAACCAGAATATTATATTATCAACATCATAACATAAAATATAGGTCAAGGTGTAGTTTACAGATATGAACTCACATATAAAATAACCACAAAGTGTGCTTAATAAGTTATACTTTTCAGAAATAGTCCAATTTGCTTGTGTTCAATACATATACAAAAGGGTTTGTTTTATAATGTATTACATTAAAATGAAATGAAAAAGCAGTCTAGTTGATTGCTTGTTGATCCATTCTTTCTAATGAGAATAATAGATTTGACCATGTAGGTTTGTAATAATAGTAAACGTTACTTCAAATTTCATTTAGAAAATACAAATACTATGTATCAAATGCTGTTATAACACTTCATATTTGGATAGAAAATTTAAATTTCCGTTTTATTAATTATTTCATGACACTCAAAACAATTGTTACCTTTTTATTATCAGTAATTTTAACAACAAATACACCTTTGGAATGGGAGTATTTAATACTATATCGAGTATTTATGGGATCCCTTAAATATAACATCTCTGCAGACTTCTCGAATTCTTCCCAATTAGGTATAAAAGTCATGTTATATTTGAATAATGTAATATTAAATTAATCTTAACTTAAACTCAACAAAAACACTTTCTACTTTAATAATTTTCACGCCACAACTCAACCCCTCACACTTGGAATAGTCCAATAGTAAAATTAGTAAATACTATAATTCAGTGTTGCCAACGGTTCAAAAAGTTTCCCCCTAGAGCAACAATAAAAAAACACTAAATTAACACCAAAACTCCCCATGACGGACCAAGCATTTCATTGCAATATAATATAAAAAACAGCGCCATCTATTAAAACTGGAATTATTCAATCTGATTAATTATTATTTTAGTATTGTTGATACACGTAGAAAATACTGTAAAATTTATAAAAAATTAAAATTTTTATTTCATTCATAAAAATACCCTTAACAAAATTAAACCCATAAAAACTCCCTAAATAGATTTTTTCCCCCTAAATTTAGGGAGAAAACCCCGGAGTTGGCATCACTATATCAAATGCATGCGTATGACATTAGTATCTCGCGTGTCTCTTGTCAAATAATAGCGCACATTGCACAGACAACATAGAAGAAAACTAGCTTTAAAAAAATAAAGTAACTAAAATAGCTATCAACCTATACAAATAATAGTACTTTTAACTATAATAAACTACTAAATGATAATAACAAGGCTACGAAAGTACCTAAGATGCTAATGTTTCTTCAAAGTCATAGTTGTTTAAAATGGTTTTAAAATCATTTTTTCGCATTTATGTAAGCAAGTACATGGGCGACTGAGCTTCGTTTTTTTTATGGAACGAAGTTCCTCATCGCGGGGTACACTTTCTGAGCGGATGGAAGCGAGACCGAAAAATTTGTAGCAAGACTTTTTTCCGACACTTCTTGCGAAACCATGTTCTGACTGGGGGTCCATAGACCCCTCAAGCTGTTTTCATGATCTAAAATCTACACAATTTTAAATCAAAGTTTTTAGTCGTTTCTAAGGTATTTAGATCACTTATTTGCTTAATATTTCACAGCAAAATAATATCATAAACAGAAAAAATTCTTCCACCTGGAATCCGTCTGATATTGCTTATTCATTTCAGACGAGGTTCTGATTAACCGAAAATCTTAAATATAAATGTTTTTTGTCGTCAGGTGTGAGCCGTTACTTGGTTTTACCACGTTTTTTTGTGCTTGTTAAAAATAAAGGGAAAACATTTTATTCTTGTATTGCTTTTATTGTAAGATAATGAGATTCTTGAGAGTTTCAGAGTACCAATTCGATTCATTATGTTTAGTTACGTTCAACCTTGATGTCTTATTTATCAGGGGATACTCTTAGGTTGACTGCTATTTTATTACTTTAGCATGGTAATACCATTTTTTTTAGTATTTCTTGAATTTATCGGAAAAAACTAGGTAATTTGAGCTTGAACTTATTCCGTCCAGAAATTGTCGTAGTAAAGAACCAGTAATCATTCGAGGTGGATTAGTTGACTCTTATAATTGTTCCAAAAGAACACCTTTTCTGTAGTTAGAGAAATTCCAGCAATTTATTTATCTTCTTTCTAATAGAATTATATTCCTTGTTAATTTACATGTATTGCAAAAAAATATATGATTGCGTCTGGTATATCACTCACTCACACTCTCTTTCGAATTAGTTTCTTTATCTTTTGTTTTGGTTTCGTTACCTTTTCTTTCCCTTCCTTTTTCATGTCCAAATCACAAAGTACAGGTACCATATTAATAAATAATGTTTGGTCAATATATATACCTAAAATGATCCTCCTATTATATGATGATAATAATCCTATTATATGATGATAATAATCCTATTATAAAAAGTTAATCCTACAATCCATGTTGTAGGTAAAAATAGTTCAGCAGCTTTCCTTGCTAAATAAACTTGATATTTTTTTATAGTGTCTTGTAAACCTATCAGTTAATTACATGAACTCGTTAGATTAATAAGCTTTTTCAGACTATTAAAATTGCACTTCATACTTGATAATTACTTTCATTATTTACTCAATTGCTTGCTTATATAGATAGGTATGCAGCTCATTAAAAAAAATTTGAAAAATATTCATTGAGGATCACGGTGAATATGTATATCCATATGGCAACTTTGCCACAGACAGCGCAACCAACTACGCAGAAAATCAATACACCGTGATGTATTCGTCTTTTTAAAATGAGAACGTGACAAAACATTAATTTAATTCATCGAAGAAACCACTTTTATTTAAAAAAAAATATCTGTTGAGAATTGATGCTCATTTTTTATTTATTTACAAAGTGATGAGTATTCTCATAGTTACGGCGTGGTAGAACTTTCTGCGCGTAGATTATCATCTTTTCCTTCAAATTATAAACTGTTAAAGGTTAGTAAATGATTTTTAATTAACTAACGTTGATAAAATTGTGTTCTTATGTGAATTCCGCACCATATTTGGTTAAAAATGTGTAAATAGCGATTATCGACCTTCGCCATTGTCTGCATGGTGCATTGCGTTTATTGTATATGTACATAGGTACCTATTTTATTATGAAGCCATTTTGGAGATAATATTTTCGCTATTTACGATCACCGCGTTATTATAATAGTGGTTTATTTTCACGCTCAGGTATGTATGTTCATACGTGCTTATAGGCTATCGTATTTCCCAATTTTAAATTTCTACTTTCGAAGTAGATATCAATAAGAGTGGTGTATGCTTCTGGATTTGTATGCATCATTTTCACATTGATTACCACATAGTTTAAAAAAAGGTAATAAAATTCAGTTCCCTTGAAGGTCATTAAATTTAATTGTTTTTATCACATCATCCTGTGCTCACCTATAGAGAAGTAGTAAATATCATATAAGAAACCAATGCAGTAATTAACGGTTTCAAAGTAAATGGCAACTAATGAAGTATTGGTCTGTAAAAATTAAAAATTATTACTTAAATCATTAAACATAGTAATCTATTGGCGACCATAAAACTCAATATACATTAATCTTTCGTATTTATATTAATTTCACAACCATGTTGATATTATTTGAGCCATTTTAATAAGAGTAGTATGAACAAAGTATTAAAATTAAAGCACTTAAGAAAAAATAACTATAATGAATTCCCTAACATTTCTATACCATTAAAGAAAAAGATTTAGTCAAAGTATTACTTATTTCATTTTTTGTTACTAAAACTTCTCATCAAATCTGTGCAGAGTATGTTTTTATTTGAAAATTCAATAGAGATTATTGCTGGTGTATCAGTGACTACATCCTTTCTACCTATGCTGCTAGTCTCTTATCTACTGTTTCCAGCTGTTGTCCAATATCCATGCTTTTATAAATGATTTGAATTATCACTGCTATGACTATTAAAGTCTGTGCTTCATATCTATTTCTTTAAATACTTATATATTTACTTGAAAATTATAAATTACAAATTCAACAAATGATATTAATCTAATTAGATTTTAGTAGTACAATTCCATAAATTAAAGTTCATATTAAACATACAACCTTTGTTGTCTTCTTATCACATTGTTTGACCTACAAATTTTCTTATGTAATATTATACTAAGGATTGTGGACCTTTTCAAATAATAAGGCTATAACAGTCTACTACTGGATGTAGGCCACTCCCAATTTGAACAGTAGTACACAATCTTCTGCCTTCCCGCATCCAAATTAAAGAAACATCAAGGAAACTCCAAGCATCACTCTTTCCATAGCATGCATGGCTTTGTGGGAAAGCCATACTATTAGTGTGCATGTTCTGTAGGTGGGTTTTGTTTTATAGGTAGGACCTACTGGTCAAAGACAGTGAGGTTTTGCAGCTAGTTCGATGAAAACCTCTTGGTCTTTTCCAATAACAAATATAGTTTTAAGACATTTTGACATTAGCATGATTCACATTCATATTTCTTAGACCTTTATTGACATTCAAACTAATGGAAAAAGAAATATTATCTTACATTGGTACAGAAATAGGTTAATTCATTATAATGAAGATAGGTATTTCTTATATATTCAAAATGACAGATTTATAGCTTCATATATTACTTTCAAGTTTTAAATGGAAAATTAAAAGTACTAAATTTAAAAAAAAGGAAAAGCACACTAGTATAAAGAATACATTGTTGTTCTTCAAACTAATAAATGCTATAACATACATTTTGTCAGGCTATACTTATAAGACTTTATAAGCTTAATGTTTACAATTGAACCATGTTGAATCAGCAAATCATTAAATTTACTTCTGAAGTAGATATAAATAAGAGTGGTGTATGCTAAATTAATTGTTTCTATCACATCAACCTGTGCTCACCTATAGAGAAGTAGTAAATATCATATAAAAATCCAATGCAGTCATTAATGGTTTCAAAATAAATAGAAAGTAATGAGTATAAGTCTGAAAAATGTAATAAATTATTACTTAAATCATTAAACATACGGCTGGTCCACAATTTCGAAGTCACTCAACGTGCTGTGGAAAGGGCTATGCTTGACGTTTCTCTAAGGAATCGCATCAGGAATGAGGTGAAACGGCAAAGAACCAAGGTCACCGACATAGCCTACCGGATCAGCAAGCTGAAGTGGCAGTGGGCCGGTTATATTAGCTGCAGAACCGACAACCGTTAGGGAAAACGAGTTCTTGAGTGGAGACCGCGTCTCGGCAAACGTAGTGCAGGACGCCCACAGGCCAGGTGGAGTGACGATTTGCGTAAGATGGCTGGCAAGATCTATATGCGAGAAGCTGAAAACCGATCTAAGTGCCGTGCTATGGGAGAGGCCTATGTCCAGCAGTGGACTGCGATAGGATGCGAATGCTGCGGATGATGGTGATGAATATTAAAGTCTGGACTGTTCATATATAATAGATTATATACTTTTAAAGTTTAATATTTACACATTCTCCTTTTTTTCTATTAAAATTCAACAAATGATGTTAATCTAATTAGATTTTAGTTGAACAATGCCATAAATTAAAGTTCATATTAAACATACCCTTTATATTGTCTTCTTATATAGTATATATATACTATCTATACTTATAAAGAGGTAAAGTTTGTGAGTTTGTATTTTTGGGAGTAAAATACATGCAAACGGGGGCGGAACCGCAGGCAAAAGCTAGTATTCAAAATAGCTCTTCCTTCTTTCCTTCAAACCTTTTTCCCAAACTAGGTTGGGTCTACTTTAAGTCTACTACGATACGGCTGAACCTTTAACACGGAGCGACTGCCATCAGACCTCCACAACCCAAGTAATAGGACATATCGAAGTTCTGTAGAAAGACTTGTCAGAGTTTTTAGACCTCGCAACTACCCATATAGTACCGGGGTGACTAAATTAAATCTGTTATGCTTTTGCGGATTTTTTCTGCAGAATCTCTTTCTCAGAATTTCTCTGCAGAATCTCTTTCATATTATATTTGCCGCATAATGTCTGTTACGCACTGCAGTAAGAAGGAAAACTTGTCACAAACCCTATACCATACCGTCAGGTCAGCGTGGTATAGTAGGCCAAAACCAGCAGTCGACTATTAAAGGCTGTTGATGTGATATGTGCTGTCTGTTATGCAAAAAAACGAGTGTGCTTTAGACCACACGACAGAGTAAAACTTATTGGCTATAAGAGATAGAAAATGTGTGCTCGCACCTCTCTCTCTTGCCCCTACAGTAATATACGAAACGTAACTCTCTCTTTTTAAGCTTCACTAACTTATATCTCCCTTTCAACTTCCGTTCGTCTCACCCGATCACAGTTTTCGCAACGCGCTCGTCACGCATTCACCAGTTTACTTCCCAAGCCTAGCGTGCGTAAAGAATTTTTACTTCAAAAATCGTAAAGAACTGAAGACTGCATGTGATTCAAATAGTTATGAAAACAAGTATTTGTAGTTTCGAGTACCTAAAATACTAAATCACTTGTGAATGTGATCACAGTAAATGTCGGTTTACCTTTTTTTCATGCTACCTTATCCGTGTGTCAAATCATCATTATCAGTCTATCGCCGTCAACTGCTGGACGAAGTCCTATCCCAAGAATCGCCAATTGACACGGTCATGGGTAGTCCGCATTTATCTGTTGCCAACCACTCAAGTCGTCGTTCCATCGTGCCGCCGGGCAGCCCTACACTATGTTTACCAAATCGCGGTCTCCACTGTAAAACATACCGGCTCCACCGACTATCGGGCCGCCTGGAGACATGGCCAACCCACTTCCGCTTTAGCGTATTGCTTCTCCGTACGATGTCGGTTTTAGTTCGGTCGACTATAGTTCTCTGTCGAAAAACTTCGTTTCGAATTCTAATCAACTAGAGAAACACCCAACATCGCACACTCCTGCTCCGCTGCACTGCACTGCACTTAATACTTGTGGACCAGTGACTGTCGACGTCTCAGCTCTGTATGCAATACGGGTAGGAGCACTGATGGAATGCCTTGGTTTTTAGCGATTGTGGGATCGGCGACTCGAAGATATGACATAGTATCACATACGTTGCCCAGCCCAGACGAATTCTTCTATCGGCCTCCCGATCAAAGCTGTTTAGCGGAGTTCTATAGTGTGGCCGAGGTAGAGTATTCTTGCACAACCTCGACAGAAATAACAAAATAATATTCATTAATTTTCCGAAATATATGCCTGACTAATAATGATATTGATGAATAGTCTGATTTATTGATGTCTACTCTGGTTTTGATTACAATTGTTGGGTACAAAAAACGTGTAATTTTACCACAGAGAGTATTGCTAAGATTTATTATTGTGAGTATTTAATACTTATATATTACAGATATTAATGAACATTTTGTTATCAATGTTTTAATGACCTGAGAGTATTTTGAACAATCCAAACACCGTATACCTACTTGTGTTTGTAATTATTGATTTCTACTTTCGCATTTGCGCGGCTCAAATAGGTACATGAGTTTGATTTTTATTTTCCTTCTAAAATCTACAAAGGGATATACAATGGCTTAAACATTTTTTACACTTTTTTCAATAGCTATTCAAAAGGTACAAACGAATTGTATTAAAATAATCATTTAAAAAACTGATGTCAGACTATTCATTTAACGTCCATTGTTTTAGTTGCTTAAAATAGGTTTCTAGCAATAGTGATCGATATTTATACATATTAGGCCGGGTCTAATGCTTTGTAATCACGATGAACTATTACTTAGTGAATATATATTGTAATTTCTCTATAACATATTGGAACTTTCCAGTTGTTTAAAAAAAAAAAACGCATACGGTACCATAACCATGTAAATACATATACAATTTACTGTAATTTTACTAGTAGTACTGTTACGGTACCTATCCAGTTCTATTATCAAAATAAGTGCTGACTTTTGTTGGTATCTATCAAATGGTTTCGTGTAATTTAGAAAATATAAAAATAGCCTTGTGCTTTGACGAATATGAAAAAAATAAAATTCCAATCTAAACATTTTATATGACCACTTACGTTTCTGCCCAACTTCCCAGACGAATATTACTTACGTGGGTGTCATAATTCCTTAGTGATCTCGAATGTGTGGAGGCGTAGAATACCTACCCTATTTCATTACTGTCTATAATGTCTACATATTATTATGTAGGTAGCTATTAACTCTATGTTGTATTAAAACATTGAATGCTAAATTTATTGAATGGTTAACACCGATTTTTTAAAAGGGGGAGTATCATATTTTATATTGTATGTATAACAATGACAGGTAAGAATAAAATTGAAATGTAACATTTGCTTATCGATTAAGAGAAACATAATATTATTGGGTCGATATAGTAGATTCTTTTTCTTTTTGAGATAGTATACTTTGCAGGTGTGCCTATTATTTACATCAGATCATAGGATAGATGGTTGAAATAGCATTCTGGAAAGTAGAGAAATCTCTCAAACATTATATTGTCATACCTATCATGATATGGGTATAATTTATGTTATCTGGCATACAATGGCATTACCTGGGTATTTCACGGGTCACCGTTCGGTTAATTTCATATGGTTGATAAGCAATGTATGCTACGCACTGTACTCACACACCAACACATGACTAAAAAAGGAGGCTCTCAATTCGATCGTTTTATTTGTGTGAAAGTTACGCAACATCTTCCAGTATACTGAATATTAGGGATGCACCAACATCGTAGCTGGAGCACCGCAAAAAGACATTAGAATCACAATGTCTAGTATAGTAAGGTCGTAATACTTATTAACAAATACCATATTGTTTGTTACAGATTCTTGTTGGGTAAAGTCAAGGAATATATTCATTATACACGAAAATAATTGTAAGTAAAAATGGAAGAAATTAATGGGGATCTTTACGGGGGCGGTTTGGTTAGTCTTGGAGATGAGGGCTCCTTGGAGTCGACTGATAATGGCAAGCAAGAGCAAAATTGTAACATCTGCGAGTGAGTAGATGTATATTTGTTTAAACTATTCGTACGAACTATATGTATTTTTACTAATGAAATCTCATTTCAACAGTAACAAGCTGTGTAGCCCTCGAGTATTGTCTTGCCTTCATGTATTTTGTGAAGCTTGCATTGACAAGTTAATGGTTAATGAAGCTGGAGATTCTCTGAAATTTGATTTGGCTGTAGAGTGCCCCATATGCAAACAAGAAACCAAGGTAGGTATATTGTTTAACACTGTTATAATATTTATCTATTTTTATTTATGGAAATTAAATAACCACTAATAAATGTTGCATGTCTTTATAGATACCTGGAGGGGGGGCTGCATCTCTTCCTTCCGACTATGTGCTGACCAACATACTTGATGTTTCTTCTATGGATCAGTCTGTTGTTTGCACTTGTTGCAAGAGCAAGGAGCCGGCTGTTGCCCGGTGCACTGATTGCTCTCACTTCTTATGTTCAAACTGCAATTCTGCTCACGAATTTATGCGATGTTTCGAAAATCACAGAGTGGTACCTTTTGATGCTCTGAGGTCCTCAAAGGAAAAGGCTGCTGTGCATAAGCCAATATTTTGCGCTCGACATGCAGGGGAGAGTCTTAAGTTTTACTGCTGTGAATGTGAGGTTGGTGCTTGCACTGAGTGTCTCACTGTCGATCATAAAGTTGGTGAACATCGTTGCGAAAGAATTGTTGATGTTGAGCCCAACCTGCGGGCTGAATTACGAAATTTTATTGTGGAAGCTAATGCTCGAGCAGCTACGGCTGGTAGTGCTTCTGCTAGACTCGATGATGCGCTAGGAGATCTTCAACGCCAGAGAGATGAAGCAGAAGGTGTGATTAATGACGCATTTCACGCATACAAAGCTGCACTTGAGAGATGCCGCGAAAGAGCTCTAGAAGAATTAGAACGTTTGCATAAAGAGAGAGAGCTAAAAGTTATGGATCTTTTTGATCGCGTCGATAAAACTGTTCAGCGCATTGACTGTGCTTGTAAATTTGCGGCTAGACTTCTTCGTCGTGGTGATGGTACCGAAATAGTAATGTTGAAAAAGACTGTCGCTTCTCAGTTTGCTCGCTTACTAGAAGGTGCCCCAGAGTTTGATGTTGATTATTCCTTGGAATTCACAACTAAAATGGATAAGTTTGAGGCCATATCAGAGGAATCATTTGGAACATTCCGTACCGAAGCAACTCGTGCAGAGGAACGAAAACGTGCTAGCGAATCTTCTGCTATTGTATCAGTAACATCAAATTCTCATTCTCCAGCAGTTTCGGTGACTAACACTCCCGTATTTGACGACTTTCCATTATCTGGCATACGCCGCGTAACTGGTGTTACTGGGGTCGGCACCATGGTGGGAGTTCCAGGTGTTGGCGGAGTACCTACTATTGGGGTTTCAGGAGTGGGAGCTGTTGCTGGTGTTGGAGTCACTAATTCTAACGTCCTTCCTGGTGGCGTAAATATCAACAGTGTACCTGGTGTAGGTGGTGTTACTGGGGTGCCTGCTTTGCCTTCAATGGTTGAGTATAATTTGCAACAACTGGCTAGTATCGCAGAAAAAGATGTACCACCTCCACCCCATGCATCTCCAGCGCCTTCTTTCACCCTTGCTGAATTATTGGCTGGGGAACTAAACTCGCCCCAGGCCTACAATAACCTTCAAGCACTCGCGAAACTTGGGCTTAATGCTGGTAAGTCTTGTTATGCACACCCCCTTCAATTATTAAATGTGTTTGGATGGGTTTATTTTAAAAATATTTTTCTCAGAAGTCAATGGATTTGGAGGAATTGGAGGCGTTGGTCCTCGCGGTGTATCTCCAGGAAGACCATTGCTGACCGCTGCCGAAGAAGCGGCTCTAGTACCTCCTCCAGCACCACTCGTGCGTGCCACTAAGGCCACTCCTATGCACATTAGATTCAAGTTTGGTCAACTAGGAAGTGGCAAGGGACAGTTTAATTCTCCTCATGGATTTTGTCTTGGAAATGATGAAGATATCATCGTGGCTGATACCAATAACCATCGAATCACGGTAATACATTAGCCTTGCATTTCATTTTTTATATTTTTTTGGCTAAGAGTTTGAACGACTATTCGTTTGCTTTTAGGTATTTGACAAATCTGGAACTTACAAGTTCAACTTCGGTATTGCTGGAAAAGAGGAAGGTCAATTGTGGTACCCCCGCAAGGTGGCGGTTGTTCGCGCCACTGGCAAGTTTGTTGTTTGCGACCGTGGCAATGAAAGGTCGCGCATGCAAATTTTTACTAAGAATGGACATTTCTTAAAGAAAATCGCTGTGAGTAACCTGAACTTATCATATAATGACTAGACGACTAGATTTGGTAGTTGGTAGTGTTAACATAACATTTTTTAGCCTAGCTTAATTTATCGATTTGCCTTTTATTATACAGGTGCGTTTCATTGATATTGTTGCGGGGTTGGCTGTCACTGCCGAGGGTTTGATCGTCGCCGTGGATAGCGTAACACCTACTGTATTTATATTGTCTGAAGAAGGCGACCTTATGAGCTGGTTTGATTGCAGTGAGTGCATGCGAGAACCATCTGACATCGCAATTAGTGGTAAGTCTGTGTTTTGTGATTATTCTACTTCTATGTTGTTTAACATAATCCAAAATTATTGACATAGAGATACATTATTTACATTCCATAGTTACATAAATAGTAAAACAACATTCTCTGTTTTAGGCAAGGAGTTCTATGTTTGCGATTTCAAGGGGCACTGTGTAGTTGTTTTTGATGATGAAGGACGTTTCTTACGCCGTATTGGTTGCGAGAACGTGACCAATTTCCCTAATGGAATCGACGTGTCAGATGCTGGGGACGTGCTTATCGGTGATTCACATGGCAACAAGTTCCACGTCGCCGTGTTCTCACGTGACGGGGTGCTTGTCACGGAGTTCGAGTGTCCCTATGTCAAGGTATATCTTTCAGATGGAACTTACTTCCTGTTATGAAGTTTTCATTAAGTGTGAGTTTCGGCATCATAAAATTTACTTACACTCAATTGCAGGTATCTCGCTGCTGTGGTCTGAAAATAACATCTGAAGGATATATTGTCACTCTGGCTAAGAATAATCATCATGTTCTAGTCCTCAACACCCTTTATATTGTCTGAGGAGTAACTCGATGGCTGTAAGTCTGCATACTACAAGATCTCACATTTATTCCCTATATTTTATATTAATTGCTGTTTTTACAAGCTTAACATTTTTTGCTAAACCAGTATTTGACTACTTATTTCGTTTTGTTGTGTTAAATTTCATGTTAGTCTGATATTTTTACATTCTGTCCATATGCAGTGAACTATAGTGATCCTATATTTGGTATGCGTCGTGATTTTTTTTGTTTTATGGCATTCTAGAATTAGAGATGACACTATATTTTTATTCACTGCTATGGATAGACTAAGTCATTATTATTTCCAAAGTACTGAATACTTGCGTATTATTTTGGGTTTGTTCATCTATCATTTAATATTTTATAGTTGCATTTAGTTCTAGTAATGGAAAATCCAAAGGTTAGTATATAATATTCAACTTATACTTTATTTTAGTCCGATTTGTATACCAGTTTTTGTTATATTTGGTCATGGAGGATCAAAGTTTCGGATTTATTTTATAAATGACTATAATATGTATAAAATGCACGCAAATTGTTAAGGAGATGCGTAAACGTTAGTGTTTGTTAATAAATGTGTTAGGCTTTAACACGATGTATAGTAAATATAGTCAAACTCGTGAATACATCCGGAACATCCGATTCCTGGCAGGAATACCATAGCCAAATTTAACTGAAGGAATCCCATCGACAGGACTTATATATTTCGTTTCTAAATTTTTAGCAGCTGGTAAGGTTCCTAGTTCGAGTGAAGTTTAAACATGTCAATTAGGGGACTGCGTGAGTGTCGCCTCAACTATTAATTTGAGATTGTTAAAATGTTAGCCCGATATACGTACGTTTTTCTATCTCTATTGATTTTCTTTGTTGTAAGTGTAAATTGTTTGAAAAAGAACAAATTAATGTGAACGCACAATTGTGTTTAAAAAAAAAATTAAGTCTTGTCATGACCAAAGGAGGCGACACTATAATAACGTGCCATCTAGTTTAGGTTAATCTCGTATACAATATTATCATATATTGTCCGTTAAAATATATTTACCATTTACAGAATTCTTGTGTCTATACAAAATGTTTTTCGTGTACTCTTGTTTTGAGAGCCTCTTATTATATTTGAAAGATTTTTCGTCATCACGCATTACAGTAGTACATCGTTAAGAGTTCTCAGTTATTGTAAGTTAATATCTTAAGTTAGAACTACACTGACCACGTAAACCCCACCGTAATTTCAAAGAATACACTCATACACTAATATGCAAACTTGTTGATATACATCTAGGACATATTACAAAAGCGGGTCTATGTAATAAACGCCGTTCTTTTTGCATTTATATCCCTTTTTTGTTTCAAAAGTAATAAAAATTCTATAGGACCGATGAACTAATAACATATTCAAATCTTGTGTAGTTCTAGCCTTAAAGGTAATCTATGTAATGCTTTATTATTAACAACCACTGTAACTTAGCAATAACTTGTACAACATACTATGTAATGGTTAAAAATTTATGTAGGAAAATATTTGGCACTTTCTTGTATATAGCAAGCTGTTAGAATCATTCTTTTGCAAGCTTTAATCTTGTTTTTTAAGAACGTACATAACGTTGTAAAAATATTGTTCGCCTAAAGTTCGAATTTAATTGCGTTATGGGTTATTATAAATAGAGAAATTGACTAATACATACCAAAGCAGTATTTGCTTACTTGTTATGTACACGAATTTGCCATTACAAATATGTCTACTTATATGTTCGATGAGTATATACTGTTCGCCAAATTATATATTTTTATAACTATCCACATTTATATTCAAAATTGAGAATTCATAGTTTAGATAGTAGGTACAAAAAATGCGGTTTTATTAAAACGATACCATATTTAGATATAATCATTATATACATCATATAATTAATTATTGTCCCTCGTTAGGTTTCCTAAGACTAGTGTGTGTGAAAAGTGGGACATGTGAATTCAGATGGAACCCTCATTAATATGGTATCCCAATTATTGTAACAGAAGTAATGGTCAGATACAATTTAACATACACTGAAATCTACCGGGGATCGGGTCTTCCAACTATGATTAGGTACCGTACCATCTTATATAGATAGATATTGTTTGTGCTTTTTAGTAACACGTATTCTGCACATTTAATATGCATTTCTTTTGTGTTACCAATGGTACCTTCAGTAATTTAAGTATGAAAATTTGTTGATTTGCTTTACTGAAAAGCATGCTTGGACAGATTGTTGTACATGACCATTATTATGTGTATACAATCACTTTGGAAATAGTACTTAACCCAGACCACCTAAAAGTAAGTGTGATATTTTATTAATATTCTTAATGTCAGTTTTATATGCTCTCTAATTTTATTTTTGATTTCGTTAACTTATAATTCCTAAATTTTCAATACTAAAAGTCGTGCATCTCATCTAAAAATAAATAATACACCTTCATGTTACTAAATTGTAATTATAAAAATAAATAATTAGTTGGTAGTCAGGCACTCTCTTCATATTGCTGAGCCATATAACTTATATTGATTAATAAAATCACTAATACTGAAAAGTAACATGTATAAGTATGTGTACTTAATTAGAAATAGGTATTTATTTTATGTATTTCTTGTGTATTGGAACAGTTTTACAATATTCGATACGCAAATTAGATGTGATATGAGCAATAATAGAGAGACATAATGAACCAACATTTTAAGACTTACATGACTCAATATTTTAAAAGACACTTGCGAAGACCTCAGACGTGGAGCGTACAGCAACGTCGGTCTTCGAAAGCCAGTGATAAGTTGAATTTTGACATTTTAGTCTGAATCCTCTATTTGATTAGTGAGTAACTTTTGGGTTTATTTTTCATATTGTTTTTAAGTTATTTGTTTCAGGATTTTTGTCCCAATAGTATTAGGGAATTTTATTTTCTTTATTTGAACTAGTTTAAAATGAGTCTACATACCCTCGCGGATGAGCAGGTGTGATTAATACTCTGATTTTGTCGTTTTATTGTTTTATTTAATTATATGTTCCGGGCCTATATTATATAAATAGTATTTTTGGCCAGTGTGTTTAGGCCTTTAGAGTTACGAATTTTTACTGCCAAATTATTTTCTTACGATATTTGTGCATGCACATAGTAATTATTTTATTGTATAATATTTGTAAAAATTAGTTATTAGTTGTTGCCAATTTTTTGTTTTATTATAGTATTCAGGGTTTTAATATTATGATGTTCAATTTTAATTCGTTGTCATTGATCAAAATTATTGTGTGTTAGTGAAGTAAAATTAACCGAAAATAGAACTTATTATTGCCCCAAAGGGAGCGTTTGACGCTATTAATAATATTGCTTTAGGGTTGCATAAAATTATTAAAAAGTGGTGTGATAAGTTTTGGATAATTTTACAAATTATACTATTTTATGTGTGAATTCCAATATTTAAAATTCAAAATCAGACATTTCATTACAACATCTGATTATACATATTATTCAATGACGATCATTTATAGTTTTGTTTCTAAACTATTTGAAAAGTATTATTATTGTCACTGATTTACTCCCTTCTCCCTATAATTAATTTTGGTGATATTGACACTCTTTTCTTGCCATGTATTTTATGTAGGGATCAGCGTAGAAAGTTTTAGTAGGTACTAGTATTTTCAATTGATATACACACATACGGTATCACAAGTTTGCCTATATGGTGGTGTTGTTTAGAGATGTTTATTAGTGGTTGGCGCGGGCCGCGGCGGTTATTCGCCGCGTCTGCTTGGCTCTATAATTTGCCGTAGCGTGTAAGTCTATGTCATGGATGAATGGCAGTCAAATGGTATCTATTGTCCATTGACATTACTTGATAATAATTGTATCATTAGAGTACATTACAGTAGCCTTTCTCGGGAATCTTAAAAGTTACCTATATACACTTTAAAGCAATTTTGGTAAAGATATTTCTCTTGAATCTATATTCCCTTATGTATCCAGCAATAAATAACTTCAGTAGTTGTGTAGTATCACTTTATATGGCACTGAAAATTGCAGGTTTCCTTGGTGTTTTTTTAGCTCCGTAATAAGTGGATTGCGAAGTATCGAAATGAGGGGGATGTCAAGGACATTTGCATACTTGGTGCCAAGTAATGTGATAGAAGTAGGGTTCGCAGCGCACAAGGTGAGCTCTAATGTTACCCTCCCTATTGGAGGTGGGCGTATTGCCTATTAGTGGCACCAAGCACAGCTGATGGTTTCGGTGGAGTGTTGTGGCGTAACAATTTAATTCTGTTTAATTAAACCGTGGGTGGTAATATTATTCCTTTTTATGACTTTGGTTTTGAAATGATTCCAATTGATACCTATTTGAAAGACGGCATGCTCAAACGATTTAATTTAACTTTCACCCACATTATCGACATATAGATACATATATATGTACGTAATCTCCACTGTTCTAAAACAACATAAATAATATAAGGTTGTGAGCTGTATTCCCGTTGGAATTTTAAGCCACATGTGTGCTTGTGCAATAAATATCACAGTTTGGATCTAGGCTTTTAAATTATTATAGATTATATACATTGTTGAGCTGATTATAAAAATTTAATATATTATTATACCTTTTAATATTGTTAAAGAATTCTAATTGCATTCCACATCTTAGAGTGAACGAATTTGAGATGACCGTTTTCAGTCTACATTATACAATTTTTTTTTTACAATTGTAGGATTATTAGCAGTTGCCAATGTTTTCCTTTAGTCAGTAAAAGTACAAATATTTTAATATACAATCTTGGTATTTACGTATTGTAGTGATCTTATTTTTTGATTCTATAACTATAAGCATAATTTTTTTCTCTTAAGCGGCCATTCAGATATTTCTCATCTCACAAATTATTCAGTAAACAACAAAACATATCATACCGAATCAATTTAGTTTACATGGAAATTGTCTGCAACTCCCGTGGTTTTATTCTCTTGATTAGGTTACACATTATTCAAATGGCTATTTCATTATTTTCAATGTAGATTTAAGTATATTCTAAGTTACACTGTCTTATGTTCTTGTCATTTTATGTTGAAATGTGAAATTTATTGTAATAGTTAGTGTGAAAGGTGCAAGTTCCAAATGCATATTTTAATTTTGATCCAAAGATTTCATTAATTCCTTATAATTTAATTATTTAATTCTCGTTCTGCAGAAGTGACATTTGTGGAGTATGCATTGGTATTTGATACTAGGGTAACATGAATTATTCTGTAGAGTTGGTGCAGCCGAGCAAACCTCTACTAATATTCTCTTAAGAATATATTGCTCAATAATTTAATTCTGTTAAAAGTATTTTAAACCTAGATGTAGTCCACGGTGTGTTTAGTATGATGTGGACTTCAAACACGAAATTATATCTAACAGACAATACCCTCCGTAAACATTTGAAAATTAAAATGTTAAAGTTTTATTAGATGTAGTTGTTTGCCTTTAAGGCGGCTTGCCGCGGAGTGCAAGCTGCACGGGGCACCAGCAGCATCAGCACATGGGATCGCCAGTGGCTCTCTGAAACCATTATACTATACTGCTCGTTATGATGTAGCCCACGACACAATAGCTTTGTCCGCATAGGTCCAGTTTTATCCGACATATCTTTCTAATTAAATATGTTCCATAAGAATAATAGTTATGGCAGTTTATATAATGTCTTCAGTATACCTTGTGTGATGGTGTTGACTGTATTTGTACTATTTAGCCCCACAGTCAACGAAAAATTGTTATGTAATCCATTACGGGAGTCTCTGCTGCATTGTGCCTAGATCTTAGAAGTTAATGGTATCAAGGTAGAGTTAATCTCAAATATTTTGGCTCTTTGAATATTCCATGATATTATTTTTGTTTTTCATGAAAATGTATTTACATTATATACATACCTACACCTAGTAATATTGTATACAATATGAATATACATTGCGTGGTTTGTAACTTGATGTTTAATTATTTTATTGTAAAGATAAGATGCCCAACTGGTTCTCTGTCCACGCTTTAGAAGTGGAGGAATTGAGTGTATTCGATAATTAAACTTACATTATTCAACGTAACTGAATAAATAATTCGATGTTAATTGTGGACAGTAGATTTTTTGTTTCAACTGGTTGCACATCTTACTTGACCAAATTCTTTTAACGCTAACGTTACTTGAGAATTTGGATGTTTGCCATTTTGCACTCTTTCTTTAATTTTTTTAATGGCTAGTGTAAATTTTCACGTAACATTAGCGATTTATTAATAATTATAAGTTTATTAATGTGAACTGTGGCCAGGATAACAGCAGAGCAGTGTAATTCAGAGCCTGCCTAAAATATATTTTTGTCATGATTTTATTTAGGTATATACATGTTATTATTCACATATTACAGTTTTCTCAATATTAGCTTGTATTTTAATTAAGAAATAATCATATTTAACATTGCCAGGTGATCAGCAACCTGCACTTTAATATTTTTGGAAACTATTGAACTTAAATTGTACTGACTTTATAAATATATTTACTTCAATAAAGATTTTCCATGCCACTAAAAAGAGTTTATCTAAATTATTGCCCTGTGCTCATTACCAGGTAATAAGAAATTACGAACAATTAGGTATAATAACATACCATATTTCTAAATTAGTTTTGTCCGTGTGGTGACGGATTAAGAATACAGAGTGTCACCACCCCTATTCATCCCGTGGGTGTCGTAAGAGGCGACTAAGGGAGAAAACTACGCAGGACAACAACACTGCAGAGAGAAGGAAAACTTGAAACAAACCCTATACCAACCCGTCTGGCCAGCCTGGTATAGTAGGCCAAAACCAACGTCCTTTCTAAGGGGAGGCCTATGTCCAGCAGTGGACTATTAAAGGCTGTCTATGATGATGATGATGATTTCTAAATTAGAAGCCAACTTGAAAAGATCTTGAGCACTTGAGGTTTCTTTACTCTTGTGTATTCTTTGTATCCATTCCCTGAACAATGTGTTTTTGATAAACTATCAAAACTGGTTTAAACATCTCAAACGGTTAAGGCTAGAAATGTACCATTCGCAAATGATCTCGTGGTGCGTTGTGGTAGCGTTCCGCTCGCAAAAAGTCCGGTTGCTAATTGTCCCATCTATACTAAAAAAAACTAAATTTCAGTAAAAAAATCTGTTCTCGTGACAATGTATTTTTTTAGCTTAGTAGCACCGGCCGGCTCCTGCCCAATAGTATCCGCTATTAAATATTACCAGTCTGCGTTTTAGCTTGGAGGTAGTAAGGAAAGAATTCCCGAAAATGTCTTTGCTTGCTTCCATACATTATGAAAGAAACTATAATAGCAACCCTTTATTACCGTACCAAGGTGGGTACCTTTTTTTAAGCATTTTAAGCGGTAAATTGTTTTGATTCCAAATACGGCAGTTGTGATCGTAGCATTCCATTTTTTAGCATGCTACCATCGCTTCTCCCGTTTAGTCGTGCTTCATTCCGATTTAGCAGATATCAATACACACAAATCAATGGAGTAGGTAATATTAGTGGAGTCAAATACATCGGAGTAGGAATTCTCTGGGAATGATTGCGGACATGGTACGGGCGAGAGCGTCTTCTTCTGCGAGCAAGTTGCCTGCGAGAACGGGCCAGGTACCGAAGACGTCTCAGGCGCCGGAGGTCGCAGAACAATGGGTGGTAATGGAACATCGGGGTTCCAATACAGGACGGGGTCGCCTATAAGCCGCTGATGGCCCGAGGTACGTCGGGGTGCCAGGGCTTTCCTTTCTAGGGTATATCTGGTTCTTCGCCTACTGGTACCTGGAGTACTGGAGACGGCGTGCGGTTTTAGTCGGTTCGAGTCTAACATAACCACCCCCCTGGTGGGTGGTATTCTAGGTGAGGTCCGCACAGGAATAAAAAAGTGGTTTGATAAATATATGGATGGAACTGAACCTTTAACTTTTAACCTTTTCATGTTCAACGACCAGCCAGGCCAAAAGTGACCAAGGATAAACACTGCAACCATAGTGTTAATAAAGTGTCTTACGAGAACGATAAAAGCCACATTTACTTAAGCGCAATTGTTTTGTGTTCGTTACATGATGTCGAAAATTGTCATTTAAATGTTATAGGTAAATTAGTTGCCTAGCTTTTTTAATTGTTGCTCACATTTTTGAATTTGTTGCACCATAGTTTTTAAGTTATTTCACAAAATCATTTTCTGCTGGGGTAACTTTACCGCACCCAAACATTTTATTTTTTAACTGAAATATTGAAATAAATATTAAGCTATATAATTCCTTGTCTAGACGAAGTAAATGTTGCAACTTTTTTGTATTTGTTTTTTGTTCGGCTGCGTAAATATTAGGGATCCTGCTGGCGTAACGTTGGTACCCACCAACGTTGCTGGATCTCTAAAACGGGTAAGCGGATTCTAACTTCCTTTTGTTCATAACTTCTTAAGAGTCAGTTTTAATTTGTTATGCAATAAAAAAATCAAAAATAATAGACCGTTCAAATATTATTTAATTCTAACAAAGTATAAAAAAACACTTTAATACGTCCTAACACTTTGGGTAAGACCTCTAAAGACTAGGTACGTCATTTTCACGGTCACAATGCGCGTGGAATTATTTGACCACCGATAAATCTGTGTGTGGATATATATTTTTTGAATTTTATATCAATAATAAGTTGCTTAGTTCAGTTTAATACCGTTTTTTGTCTGTGCGGAAATCTGAAAAAACCTGTAAAATTTCAGCCTAGTACATACACGAATTGCCCTACACGTAGGCAGAGGCGGATTAAGTATCTTAGAGCGCCCTAAGCAATTGCATCTCTCTATCGCCCATACCATACTCAAACTCACTCTCTTTATTACATTTTTTTTTTAATTGTTTGTAATCGTCTTTTGTGTAGACTAAAGTCAGATCAACACACAAAAGCAACAATCTCTGTTTTGTCAAATAGTTAGCAAATAAATTTAATAAAAATTGAACATACAAAATCTATGATATGCCTATGCCGATCTACAACCGCCCTTTCCAAGGGGTTGAGCCTTATGAGAAGAAAGGGCAAACGAACTCATTGCCACTCTTTTGCAATTCACGGATAGATACAATGGCATTATTTAATAAACCACAACATTTAATAAACACAAAAGGTTACTTTGAAAAACTTATGAATGAAGAGAATAAATGGAGCGGAGTGCTAAATCATGTGGATGTGAATGTCGGACTGGTGAACGAGATTAGTATAGATGAAGTTAGATTGGCAGTACGAAGTATGAAAAATGGAAAAGCAGTTGGCCCCGACGGTATACCAGTGGAAGTTTGGAAGCTACTGAAAGAAGACGGATATGAGTGGCTGACTCTATTCTTCAATATGTTGTTGCTTGAAGAGGTAATCCCAAAGGAATGGTGTCAAACCCAACTCGTACCCATTTTCAAAAATAAAGGAGATGTTCAGGAATGCAACAACTATCGAGGAATAAAGCTCATGTCACATACTATGAAAGTCTGGGAGAAAGTGATTGAGAGAAGAATAAGAGATGAGAGTCAGATAACCCAAAGTCAATTTGGGTTTATGCCAGGACGCGGGACAACAGAAGCTATATTTGCAATGCGCCAACTATGTGAGAAATACAGGAGTGCGCACAAAAACTTGCATATAGTGTTTGTGGATCTCGAAAAGGTATATGATAGGGTACCCCGAGAGGTTTTGTGGTGGGCTTTGAAAGAAGAAAGAGTGCCTGTAAAGTATGTAGAATTGATTCGTGCTATGTACAGAGAGTCTAGCACTCATGTAAGGTTGGTCACGGGAAACACTGATCAATTCAGTGTCTCTGTAGGCTTGCACCAGGGATCAGCTCTGAGCCCATACCTCTTCCTGTTGATAATGGATGCTCTGACATCGGACATACAGGAGGAGGCACCTTGGTGCATGCTATTTGCAGATGACATTGTGTTGGTCGGTGAAGATGGGGTTGAGGTCCAGAGCAGACTGGAAAAGTGGCAGCATAGGCTGGAGAATGTTGGCTTGAAAATCAGCAGAACCAAAACTGAATACATGTTCTGCCATTTCGGCGGTCTCTCCAGTCCTGAAACCATTTCGCTGGATGGCATAGCGATAACAGTCTGCTCCAATTTCAAGTACCTCGGCTCCCTCTTACAATGTGATGGTGAGATTGATCGAACTGTACAGCATCGAATCAATACGGGATGGATGAAGTGGCGGTAGGTAACGGGAACAACTTGTGACCCCAGTTTCCCCATAACACTGAAGGGACAAATTTATAAAACTATTATCAGACCTGCCGTCCTGTATGGCTCTGAAAGCTGGCCCATTAAGAGAACGGATGAGAGACGCCTGAACGTAGCCGAAATGCGAATGCTGAGATGGATGTGTGGTGTGACTCAGATGGACAAGGTTAGGAATGAGTATATACGAGGGAGTCTGAAAGTAGCGCCACTGGATGAAAAGTTAAGAAGTAACAGGTTGTCTTGGTATGGACATGTCATGCGGAGGGATGAGGAAAATGTGGCGAAGAAAGTTGTAGGTATAAGAGTTGAAGGGTACAAGAGAA